AGTTAAAAAGTTTCACTTCAAATATAGGCATGTGGGGTATCAAATGAAAGGTCTCGACGAGCACTATCCAAATATCATTGTAACATACTCAACAAACCATTTATTCATTGTCTATGAATATTATAAAGACTTGTAACGCGGTGCCGTGTTCTAGGAAAACCGTGTTATACAAAACGATGTCAGACAACATTGTAGACTGTTCAATTTTAAACAAATTTGCCAAATATTGTATCTAGTTAGGACAAACCGTTCAAAAGTTACAAGAGCTACAACATAAACACGTGCAGAATATAAACTGCGTTCTATATATAGTACAGCGGGTCGAATACGAGTTAAAAAGTTTCACTTCAAATATAGGCATGTGGGGTATCAAATGAAAGGTCTCGACGAGCTCTATCCAAATATCATTGTAACACACTCAACAAACAATTTATCTATTGCCTATGAATATTATAAAAACTCGTAACGCAGTGCCGTGTTATAGAAAAATCGTGTTATACAAAACGATGTTAGACAACATTGTAGATTGTTTAATTTTAAACAAATTTGCCTAATATTGCATTCAATTAGGGCAAACCGTTCAAAAGTTACAAAAGTTACAAGATAAAAACGTGCGGAATATAAACTGCGTACTATATACAGTACAGCGGGTCAAATACGAATTAAAAAGTTTCACTTCAAATACAGGCATGTGGGGTATCAAATGAAAGGTCTTGACGAGCACTATCCAAATATAATTGTAACACACTCAACAAACCATTTATTTATTGTCTATGAATATTATAAAGACTTGTAACGCGGTGCCGTGTTATAAAAAAAACGTGTTATATAAAATGATATTAGACAACATTGTAGATTGTTTAATTTTAAACAAATTTGCCGAATATTGTATTTAGTTAGGACAAACCGTTCGAAAGTTACAAGAGTTACAAGATAAAAACGTGCGGAATATAAACTGCGTACTATATATAGTACAGCGGGTCAAACACGAGTTAAAAAGTTTCACTTCAAATATAGGCATGTGGGGTATCAAATGAAAGGTCTCGACGAGCACTATCCAAATATCACTGTAACACACTCAACAAACCATTTATTTATTGTCTATGAATATTATAAAGACTTGTAACGTGGTGCCGTTGTTATAGGAAAACCGTGTTATACAAAACGATGTTAGACAACATTGTATATTGTTCAATTTTAAACAAATTTGCCGAATATTGTATTTTGCTAGGACAAACCGTTCAAAAGTTACAAGAGTTACAAGATGAAAACGTGCAGAATATAAACAGCGTACTATATATAGTATAACGGGTCAAATATGAGTTAAAAAGTTTCACTTCAAACATAGGCATGTGGGGTATCAAATGAAAGGTCTCGACGAGCACTATCCAAATATCATTGTGACACACTCAACAAACTATTTATTTATTGTCTATGATTATTATAAAGACTTGTAACGCGGTGCTGTGTTATAGGAAAACCGTGGTATACAAAACGATGTTAGACAGCATTGTAATTTGTCAAATTTTAAACAAATTTGCCGAATATTGTGTTTAGTTAGGACAAACCGTTTAAAAGTTACAAGAGTTGCAAGATTAAAACGTGCGGAATGTAATCTGCGTTCTATATATAGTGCAGCGGGTCAAATATGAGATAAAAAGTTTTACTTCAAATATAGGCATGTGGGGTATCAAATTAAAGGTCTCGACGAGCACTATCCAAATATCATTGTAATACACTAAACAAACCAACAGGGTACCACATTTATTTATTACGCAATGTCCTTTTTTGTCATTCAAAGTATACCAAGTTGCTGTATAGTGAAATTTTACTACAACATATTATAGATAATTCAATTTATCACAATTTTGCCGAATATTTCGTTCAATTTGGACGAACGGTTCAAAAGTTACAAGAGATATTGTGAAAAGTAAACCAATGGGTTGCAGAACTCGTGGTCCACTATGAGTTCAGAAGTTTTACTTCAAATATAGGTATGTGGGGTATCAAATGAAAGGTCTCGACGAGCACTATCCAAATATCATTGTAACACCACATTTATTTATTACGCAATGTTCTTTTTGTCATTTAAATTATACCAACTTCCTGTAGAGTAAAACTGTATTGAAAAATATTGTAGATAATTCAATTTAGCACAATTTTGCCAAATATTTTGTTCAATTCGGACGAACGGTTCAAAAGTTACAAGAGATATTGTAAAATATAAACCAATTGGTGGCAGAACTCTTGGTCCAGTATGAGTTCAGAAGTTTTACTTCAAACATAGGCGTGTGGGGTATCAAATGAAAGGTCTCGACGAGCACTATTAAAATACCATTGTGTCAACAACATGATACCACATTTATTTATCAAGCAATGTCCCTTTTTGTCATTTACCAATACCAAGTTGCTGTAGAATTTAGAAGTAATAGAAAAATATTTTGAGATAATAAAAATTGATAACCACTTATGTTTTTCCCTCCTGCATGTTTGTACAGCTTTGAGACAATTGCATGCCAAGCATGACGATGATTTTGTGCCAAAAACCAAGAAATCGAGTCTAAAAAAGGCGACAGGAGCTGTAGTCAGATGGCCTGAGGATTGTCCTATGCGTATAGTCGAAACGTCGTCAAGGCATCATTTGGTAAAAGATCGTAATTTTGCCACAGAGTGGATGCAGACTTATGCCTTCATAAATCGTAAGTGGGATAAAAGATACTTTTTTACTATGGTGGAAGTGATGGCAACGGTTTGATTTATACTCTTGTATTGGTGACCCCAACTTTTTGTATATCTTAAAAATTTCAACTGACATCTGCTTGTAGTTTCAGTAAGTACCAACTTATTTGTGTCTATTTTCTAGAAAACCAAGAACGTTTCTACCTTTACCTGACTTTGGCGGTTACTGGTGGTGTCTTGCTGTGTCTGGCGGTGTTCATAACACGTCTTTTGGTGTCCAGAAGACGCAAAAGATTATCCAATTTGGATGGAGGTGGTAAATCACCATCGTCCACCATCGATCATACTTTACCGACTGGTTTTGCTGGTGATGGAAGTGATGACATTGATTTGACGACTTTGAATCATCATGGAAACGATCAAGGTAATTAATTATTTTTTCCATAAAATATTAATTATTTTTTCAAAAAATTACTTAGGCTAAGCACAGTCTAAGCGCCACTCCGGTACAAATCCTTGCCCAAGTGCGTTTAGATAGACTGTTTTTATATGGGAGCACTTTTCCAATTCTGTGAAAAACTATTGTAAAATCTGAAAATGCCGCCAAGCCCAAGCACAGTGTAAGTGAAAATGTCGCACAGAATTATTTGCAAATGCGTTTAGACTGTGACTATACGGGAGCACTTTTTCAATTATGTGTAAATTAGAGGCAACTATTTTTTTGAAATTGAATTCGAAATGAAATGACGATTGTTAATGTTCTAGAGATAATTCATCTATAGATTTATGATTTAAATTTGTTTTGCTCACAATCAGATATAACAAGATAGCAAAAATGATGAAAGGTACAGTATTTGTAATAATATATTTGAAAAAGTTTAAAATTTTTCGAATATTTCATTGCGGTACGGGAAGTTCCAGCAATTTGCCTTAAGGCACGATGCCATACACAACTAGTTTTCAATTTAGTTCGTCAGTAGTGTCCCTTTTTTATATTTCTTAGTTTACTCGTCATTAGAGTTCCCTTTCTTTAGATTTTCCGTTTACTCGTCAGAAGAATCCCTTTTTATTTATTCTTAATTTTGCTACGTAGAATCTTTTTTCCATAATTTTTTAGTTTTTTCGACAGTAGAGTCTCTTTCTATTTAACTCTTTAGTTTGCTCATCAGTAGAGTCCCTTTTTTATTAATTTTTAATTTGCTTTCCCTAGAGTCTCTATTTAATTAATTTTTCGTTTCATTGTCAGTAGAGTCCCTTTGACTATAATTTTTAGTTTGCTCGTCAGTAGAGTCCCTTTCTATTTAATTCCAAGATTGCTCGTCAGTAGAGTCTTTTCGTTCGTTAATTTTTAGTTTGCTCGTCAGTAGAGTCCCTATTTTAATTATTATTTTGCTTGTCAGTAGAGTTCATTTTACTTCTTTTTAATTTTGCTCGTCAGTAGAGTCCCTCTTCTATTTATTTTCAGTTAGCTCGTCAGTAGAGTTTCTTTCCCAATAATTTTTAATTTTGCTCATCAGTAGAGTCCCTTTCACTATATTTTTTGAGTTTGCTCGTCCGCATCTTGACAAGAGCCTGAAATAATATCTATTATTATTGACTACGGCTTGCTTATGAATAAATAAATAAAAAAAATAAACATAGTCCTTTTTACTATATTTTTCAAGTTGCTTGTTGGTAGAAGCCCTCTTCCATTAATTTTTAATTTACTCGTCAGTAGAGTCTTTTCTTCTTATAATTAAAATATTTATAATTTAGTATTAACTCAAATATCATATAACTAACAAACAGTCTTAAATCAACATTCAAAGCAATAACATCTAACATATCATCTATAAGTCTTAATATTTCATTCAAATATACAATAGTTAAACACTTATCATTATCTTTTAATCGGTCTGATGTAGCCACTATGTATATATCTGGTCGTTCAAAAAATATAAATAAAGTGTAAGTGTTTTTAATAGAGTTCGGCAGCATCTCGATGGATCACGAACTGCTATACATTTTTAATCTATGTTTTCACAACATATGTTTGGTCCATTTGAACCGAATTGTCAAATAGTGAACAGTTTCTTTAAATTTAATGAGGCAATTCTCTTATAACAGAGTTTATAACATGGCGTTGTCATAGCAACGCTATCTTATGCTTGTTCTTGGCAGTGAATATTATGAAAATGTATATCCAAATTATTCTCGTCAATAGAATTATTATATATATAGTCTATATTATATTATATATATAGTCTATATTATATTATATTATATATAGTCTTATTATATTTTATTTTATTTTATTTCCAGTTTTAGGTGCAACAATCACCTCAGATTCGATAGTCGTCCCATCTAACGATTGCACCAAACCGATGATGTACCACCAACCGAGTGGTCCCCAGATGACAACCATTATGGCTTACGGAGACACAAACCAGCATTTACCACAAGGAACTGCAACTATAGCATACACACAAATTCCTGGAGTGGCTTATGGGCCACCTGGCAGCCTTGCAGTGGTACATGGTGGTACTTTGAGACGTGGTCAAAACATGGTAAGTGGTAAATGTCCAATTAACACTAACATCCTCCTTGGGTAAATTTACGTGCTACAATTGGTAGCGCCATCTATGATATTCCTTGAGAACTAAACTTTTGGAGCCGTGTTCACCACCTATTTATGCTTGTTAATCTATGTGTACTACTACTAACATCTTCAGTTTCTTTCTAACACTCATATCATCTCTCTCTCCACCAGTCTATGATGCCATCTGTAGTCCCGAATCTGCTCCACAACGCTCCACAAATGCACATGCTACCTTCAGACATCACCATGATGTCACCCGGCGACGTGTCGACCCTTCAAAGGCAACCCCCGGGTCAACATTTCTACTACGGCTGACATCCGGTCGCGGATATCTGCCAGAACTATCCTGCTGCGGCGGATATTTGTCAGCAGTATCCGCCACAGCAACAACAGATGGCGACAATGACAATGAGAAATATGCAGCAGCAGGCTGCTCCAAGTAGAGCGGAGGCGATGTGCGCAGGGGGGAGGACTTATTGTTTCTAGTACTATTTTGTCGCGGAGGCGACCAATGGGGGACAGGAGAGGGTTTCGGTATCACGTGACAGTGTGAGTTGGGAGAATGCGGTTGGTAATCGATACATATCGGATACAAGTGACGGGGTGCAGGACTTGGATGCAGGTGATGTGGTTGTTGGTGTGGAAGACGACTGTCCAGGGGTAATAAAGGATAGTAAAGCTAGTGTTAGTGGTTCTAATCGGTTTTTTGGTATACGTGTACTTCCGAGTGATGTTGGAACTGGTGTAAATAAAACTTTGGTACCCAAAAGTGTAGGCCAAGACGTTTTGAAACCACCAGTTGATGACTATAATAAATTAAATGCTGAAACTAATCCAGAAGTTTTGGATGAACCTTCAAATTCTGATACGACAATTGGTGACCTGCAGTTATAAGTTTGCACCAGAAGAATGCCAAAGACTTTTTAACTTCCCGTAGGGTAGTTCTAGCAATGGGCTGAAAATCAAAAATGAAAATTTTTACATTTCTCGACGTTTTGAAGGTTTCTGAACATTTTACTGGCATACTTCAGAAAAAATGGGCCGAAAATCGAAACTGAAAATTTTTACATTTCTCGTCGTTTTGAAGGTTTCTGAACATTTTACTGGCATACCTCAGAAACTAAGGGTGTGTGTGTGAGGATACAATTTTTCGTCCACGTTTTCGGGCTCACGGATCAACCGATTGGAATGATTTATTTACCATTCGATTCCTATTGATAGGGAGATGTGCTTATTAGTTTTTGGCGAAGGCAGGTACAGCCGTTACGGAGATACGCGGCAAAGAGTGCAGAAAATACAAATCGAGTTTTTGAGAGAACTGAGCATCCGATTTGAATGATCTAAAAAACATTCGATTTGTAATGATTGGGAGAAGAGGTGATTAGTTTTTGGTAAAGGCAGGTCCAGTCGTTACGGAGATACAGCGCTAAATGTGTAGCTAAAAGAATAAATGCAGAGCCAAATCCATAAAATCTACCATGACATTGAAGTAACTAAAGCAAGGGATAAAAAACTTTTTGCAGAAACTGCATTATTGGTAGTCCTTTTTACTCTTTCATTTCAAGATCATTTCTACCATTTACCATGCCCAATGCAAATTCAAGAAGAAAATAATGTTCTAGCTCCAGTTGACAAAAAATTTGACCTAAAATCTTTTGAAAATACAAAAAATCCATTTTTTGACCAGTAACTGGTAATTGTAAAACTTGGTACAAAAGCAGGTTGATTCATTAAAAGTTTTTTTTTGAATTTTAGACCATTACTGCCATTTACCTTTTACAATCCAAATTAGGAAGAAAATAATGTTTTAGCACCAGAAAACTAAAAATTTGATCAAAAATCTCTTGCAAAAAACACAGGTTGATCAAAATAATCAATTTCTTTACCAATAATTCTATAGAGAAATGACTGTTCTCCTGGTAGATAATTTTTATATCAAATTGTTGTGCTCTAAATCATAAGAAACACGTTTGAAATTATAAAAACGTGACTGTTCTCCTGGCAGATGGTCGTTTGAAAAAACTGCTGTATAAAAACACATTTTTCATTACATTGAGGATGTGACTGTTCTCCTGGTAGATCATTCAGATATCATAAGAATTATTCTTGCAAACGTTTAGAACAATTAAATATATAACAAAATAATTCTTTATATGTGCCTGTTCTCCTGGTAACTCATTTTTACATCAACTCGATGTGCTCTAAATCGTGCAACAAGTTTGAAATATAAAAAAAAAACATGACTGTTCTCCTGGTAGTTTGATATGGTAATTTGAAAAGATTACAATGGTGAAATAACATTAAATTAAAAAGTTCTGACTACTGTATAAAAAACATGTATTATTACATTGAGAATGTGACTGTTCTCCTGGTAGATCATTCTAAACATCATAAGAATTATTAGTGTAACCGGCTAGAACGATCAAAAATAGTTTTTGATATGTGACTGTTCTCCTAGTAACCAAGTGATAACTCAAAAGGACAAGAACCGTCATTTTTCTGGAACTACTCCAAATTGGATTGCTTTAAATGATGCAACTGGTAGGAGCTAAGGACCAATAAGGATAATGGAATCATTTTCCTTGATATCGTGACAACTTTGTATAAAAATGATTGATATATGTGACTGTTCTCCTAGTAACTTGGCAATCATTCGAAACGATAAAAATCGCCATTGCCCTGTAACGACCTTAAATTGGACTACGAAATTAATTTATAATATGACTGTTCTCTTGGTAACCTGATGGATCTAAATGATAACAATGATCGTTCTAGAGAGATGACTTCCAATGGTTGATATTCTTTTTATAAATTTTTTAAAAAATTATAAATTTGTGACTGCTTTCCTGGTAGCCAGATCATTCGAAACGACATTTTTCTGAAACAAAAATAATCTGATAATAAATTCTTAGAAAATTGATAGATTTGTGACTGCTCCCTTGTAGCCTTATCATTAAAATCGACAAGAACCATTATTTTCTTTAAACGGCCTCAAATTGGTTGTAATGTAAATTGATTGTAATGTGACTGTTCTCCTGTTAACCTGATGATTCTGAACAATAACAATGATCCTCTTCGATTTTAAATTCTTAAGAAATTGATGGATTTGTGACTGCTCTCCTGGTCTTTTTAAGCAAATTTTTTGGAATGTCTAATGCTTCAAAATTTTACTAGTTTTTTTCTGGTGAAAGTTTTGTTGCCATTAGAAGTTGCTGCTATTATTATACCAAGTTGAGGATAAGTATTTGCTGAAGATATAAACGTGGGACTAATTTATAGATCGATTAATAATAATGTTAAAACTTTTACTAAACAAATTAGTGGTGCACAGGTGTCGACAAAAACAATTGAACCGATCGCCAACTAATTTTAACCAAGTGATGTATTTGTATATAATATCATTATAAGTTCAAAGTGTATTTAAAAAAAAATCAAATATAATCCCGCCCTTGATTAATAATAATGTTAAAACTTTTACTAAACAAATTAGTGGTGCACAGGTGTCGACAAAAACAATTGAACCGATCGCCAACTAATTTTAACCAAGTGATGTATTTGTATATAATATCATTATAAGTTCAAAGTGTATTTAAAAAAAAATCAAAATATAATCCGCCCTTGTTAACCAAAAACTTTAATTTCAAGACATTAAATATAATGATCCAGTGAAAGTATATATTCTAATTACTTATAATAATAATAATATTAATAACAACTATGCCAAATGTATGTACATTTTAATCAAACACATTTATAACGATACTGCACAATTTTTTTATTTCAAATATATATAATATATATTGTACTTAATATTAAAACTTGCATTTATATGTTTGTTAATATGCAATATTTATTACAAGCCAAAGATTACGATTTGGTGAATTTTTGGAAACTTGGGGTAGAATTAGAATTAAGTTAGAAATGTTTTTGTGACCTAAAATTTGAAATTGGTTTAAGAAATATTTAGTAATTTTATATTATGAATGTTTTTATTATATAAGGGCTGTCGAGCACAAAAATATGCAACTTTTTAAGAAAATTGGTTTCATGTTTCAGACTTGAGAAGAAATACCAATATCAGGAATTTTGGAAATTTAAGTTATATTTTTGAAATCTTGATTTTGAGCATAAAACGACTAGAATTTGGTTTGTATTAAAACCAAAAAGTTTTGCTAGTGGTTCTAGAAACAAAGAGAAACTGTACAAAATTATCTTACAATTAGAACAAAGAAGTTTTGATCAAAGTTTGAACCAGATTTTTAACTTACCGTAAGGTAAGTTATTATAATCGTCCAAGAATCGGAATTGTAAATTTTGCACATTATCACGTTTCAGGATTTCTGAACTTTCTGGTTTTGAACAGAAAAACTGTATATATGTGTATGTTTTTTTTCGTCCACGTTTTCGAGCGCACCGAATGGTTGAAGAAAATATTCGATTCCTATTGATAGCGAGATGTGCTGATTAGTTTTTGCAAAGGCAGGTCCAGAAGTTTTGGAGATACACGTGCAAAATTTATTTAGTTTTACCAAAACAACTATAATAACAAGCAACAATCGGATCAAATATGATTTTTAACAAAAAGGACTCTACAGACGAGCAAAATATATATGTGAATAGAAAGAAAGAAAAGGACTCTACTGATAATCAAACTTAATGTTCGATTTTTAACAAAAAGACTCTACTGACGAGCAAACTTTATATTTGGTTTTTAACAAAAAAACTATTTATTAGATGTACAACTTTGCCGCCGCCGATGGTATACAAATTGCTTTGTAACAAAGGCGAAAGCAAAGTTGTATATCAAATAGGCATTTTAGAGCATACCGAGTTGCTTTAGGGCTTTGTGATGTTCGACAATATTATTGATTATTTAATTTTCTTTAATTTTGCTGAATATATCATTTATTTCAAACGAATAATTTAGAAGTTACAGGCAATAAAGCAATAATATGCTCCAAGTATACTGAATTCCAAACCAAGATTTAACAGTACATTCTATGAAAGAAATATAACAAAGTCAACGTTTGTATGGAAACTAGTATACTTTTGTAAAACGTTAAAAAAACTGTTTTAAAGCACTTTATGCGTAAAAATTAAGTATACAACTTTGCTGCAGCCGTTTTTGCAATATAAAGTGTTTATAATAATGGCGGAAGCAAAGTTGTACACCTAATATGCATTTTAGAACATACCGAGTTGCTGTATAGCTTGGTGATGTTTAGCAATATTGTAGATCATTCAATTTTCTTTAATTTTGCCAAATACATCATTCATATAAAACAAACGGTTTAGAAGTTACAAGCAATAAAGCAAAAATATCCATCAAGTATACTGAGTTCCAAACCAAGATATCACTGAACATACTATGAAAGAAATCTGTGACAAAGTCAACGTTTGTATGGAAACCAGTATACTATTGTAAACCGTTAAAAAACTATTTTAAAGTACTTTTTATGCATAAATATTAAGTGTACAACTTTGCTGCCGCCGTTTTTGCAGTATAAAGTGTTTATAATAAAGGCGGAAGCAAAGTTGTAGAGTAAATATACATTTTAGAGCATACCAAGTTGCTGTAGAGCTTGGTGATGTTTAGCAATATTATAGATCATCCAATTTTCTTTAATTTTGCCTAATGCATCGTTCATATTAAACAAACGGTTTAGAAGTTACAAGCGACGAAACAAAAAAATACACTAGTACATGCCTTCGTAATCTGATTGTATGTTGCGTTTCAAATGCTATTTTAAAGTACACCGAGTTGCTCTAGGGCATTGCACCCTTAGAAGCTTTTATAGACAGGTTAATTTTGAACAAATTTCCCGCAAACTTCATTCAAATCAAACGAATGCTTTAGAAGTTACAAGCGACTAAACGAAAAAATACACTTACACACGTCTGGGGTATAAAATCAATTGTTACGATTGTGACTGAACCTATATCGGCGAAATTAGACAAAATTTAATAAAATTGTTTTTTTTAAACAAGTTTTGATTCTGTTGACATACTCTTCGACAGCCCTGAATTTTCCCAAATTCTTGACCCAAGTTTCCATCTGCAAAAAACTTGTACATATTAAAATTTAAGCCAAAAAATTATTAATAATTAAATTAATAACAAAATTAATTTAATTATTAATACATTTTACGTTCTGTATATATATTATATAACAAAATTTTTATATTATATGTAATATAATACTCCGAGAACTTTATTAATAAGTATAAATAAATAAATATAAATATAAATAAATTAATAAATAAATAGAGATTACTATGAGTAATAATAAACTGTTGATTGATCATATTCTAAAGAACGATTTTGTTAATTTAATAATAATAATATTAATTTGATAAAATTTTAATTGATATTGAATTTATAAATGAATGTATATGAAGGGTTATGTTTTATAGTTTTATTTTTTGCGGAAAAGTTTTATTAGTAATTTATTAAGATGTAATAAAAACGATAAAGAATTTGTAATGAATAAAAATATATGTAATTGCATTGTTATATAAAGTAATGGTTTTATTAATATGTTAATTCAATATTATTAATTTTTAATCTTTTTTTTTAATTTTTTTTTTTCTAGAAAAAAACAGATTGACCCTAAGAAGACCTAAATTGAACTTGATGGGTTTAGAATGTCTCATATATGTCTTGATTGGTAAAATTTTTATTATCGATTTTATTTTAATTATTTTGTTAATCCAATTTTGATTTTTATGGTTATTTATTTTTAGATTAATTATATATTAGCAAAGATTATCCTTAAGATTACTATATTTATTCTCAGGATGTCCCATTAGGTTAAACTAGGTATGACTAATTTTATTATTATTTTTATTACTATTTTTTAAATATGCTTTCATTTTTTTGTATTTTTTCATTTGAATATAGGTATATTTCAGCACAGATTAACCCATAGACGTCCCATATTCATCTTCATGGGTGCACTATGTCCCAGACTTGTCCCATAAATGTCCCACTCTTGTACCAGTGGTTTAAAAATCAGGTAACATGATTTTTATTTTTTATTGTTATTATTATTTACATAAGCTGTTGCTAATTTATGTGTCAAACGATTCAGTATGACTTGAAACGTCGAGAAAACATTGAATTATTAAATTTAAATTCCAAACGAATTTGTTACAAACAGTAAATGCAAGGTTTGAAAATATGTTAGAAATCGGTTCGATTTTGTGCTAGAAACGCTCTTGTGGTTTAGTAGATGTCACTGCTAATTAAGAAGTAATTAATTATCGGTTAATAAACTTGCAAATTTTATAATTTGAATAAAAATTTGCAAATTTATGAAAAAAAATGAAGAATGTTCCAAAATTTTAATTAAAGTTTGATGGAATATTTTTAAAAAACTTTAGATTTAAAATTTGTTTAACAAAATTTACAATTTATAAGAATTTGATTAAAATTTATTAAAAAATATTAAAATTTTTCTAAAATTTATCCGAAGCCGTTTCTTCATTAAGTTTTAATTAATAACATTTGAACCATGAAATCCATGAAATTTTCACCTAAAAATTCTTTTTTGTCATATTTAAATAAAAAATCTTGGAAAAAATTTAATATTTTTTTAACAAATTTGCGAACTTTTAATCAAATGATAAAATTGACTTTTACAAAGCACTATATACGTAAATATTAAGTGTACAACTTTGATGCCGCCGTTTTTGCAATATAAAGTGTTTATAATAAAGGCGGAAGCAAAGTTGTACATTTCAAATGCGTTTTAGAGCATACCGAATTGTTGTAGAGCATTATGATGTTTGACAATATTGTTGATTACTTAATTTTCTATAAATTTGCTGATTACATCATTTATTTTGAGCGAACGGTTTAGAAGTTACAAGCGATAAAGCAAAAATGTACACCAAATATACTAAATTCCAAACCAAGATGTTACCGTCATTATTATGAAAGAAATTTTTGACAATGTCAACATTTGTATGAAACTTAGTATATTTTTAAAACCATTGAAAACTCTTAAAAAAACTACTTTAAAGCGTAAATATCAAGTGTACAACTTTGCTGACGCCGTTTTTGCAATATAAAGTCCTTACAATAATGGCGGAAGCAAAGTTGTACATTACATAAGCGTTTTAGAGCATACTGAGTTGCTGTAGAACTTCATAATATTCGGCAATATTGTAGATTATTTAATTTTCTATAAATTTGCCTCAAGCATCATTCATGTCAAACAAATGGTTTAGAAGTTACAAGCGATTAAGCAAAAATATGCACTATGTATACTAGGGTGGTCCTTAAAATGGTCTTTTTCGAATTTCCTTGCTCTCAGGGGCTCAAATGGTTCCAAATAGATAAAAAACAATTCTCTGAAAGTTTTAGCTCTTAATATTAACATTTAGATAGAGCGCAATTCAATCAAAGTTTTGTATGGAAATAGCATGGAAAAATTTTCAAAAATTTTAAAAATGTTTTTTAGATGTAACTTAGCGAACAAATGAATTAATAAAACTCATTTATTTGTCGCTAAGTTACACCTAAAACATGTTTTTTTAATTTTCAAATTTTTTTTCATGCTCTTTTCATACAAACTTTGATTGAATTGCGCTCTATCTAAACGTTAATATTAAGAGCTAAAACTTTCAGAGAATTGTTTTTTATCTATTTGGAACCATTTGAGCCCCTGGGAGCAAGGAAATTCGAAAATGACCATTTTAAGGACCACCCTAATGTATACTGAATTCCAGACCAAGATGTCACCGTACATACTATGAAAAAATTCTTTGATAAAGCTGTCATTTGTATGGAATTTAGTATACTTTTAAAACCATTGAAAACTCTTAAAAAACTACTTAAAAGCGTAAATATTAAGTGTACAACTTTGCTATCGCCGGTTTTGCAATATAAAGTCCTCAAAATAATGGCGGAAGCAAAGTTGTACATTATATATTATGCAAATTTTAATCAAATTCTTAAAAATTGTAAATTTCTCTTAAACAAATTTTTAATCTAAAGTTTTTTAAAAATATTCCATCAAATTTCAACTAAAATAATGGAAAATTGTTCATTTTTTTTCATAAATTTGCAAGTTTTCATTCAAATTATAAAATTGTTATCCAAATTTTTTACTCCTTCAAATTTAATAAAAATTTTGAAAATTCTTTCGTCAAACTTTGGATAAAATTTCAGGAGATTTTTAAATTTACAAATTATTTATAAATTTACAAATTTTCAATCAAACGATAAATTTGTTAATTTTTTCAACATCCTAACAAAATTTTAAATTTTTTTGAAGAATTATTGAATAAAAAAATATGCTATTATCGTTTTTTAACTAAAATTTTTATTTTTTTTTTAATTTTTTGCATTAGTTTGTATAATTTTAAGCAAATGCTGTCGAAATTAATTTTTTTGATGTTTTAACTTGTCCTTCACAAAAAAAAAATAGTTTTTTGATAACTATGTCAATTTGTCAAACAAACAATAAAGTTGTCATTCAAAAATACTAAACTAGATTTTTTTAGTTTTGTTTTTACTAAACTAGTTTTTATATATTACCCAAACCGGAAACTTTTTCTACTACAAAATAAAATTATAACTTTCACGGATATAAACCACATTTTTTACAAATTTTTGGAGTAGATTTCCACATATTTTTTTGACACAAATAAATTTTTTTTTATCAAGTAACCACTAAAAATTTTTTGTTTCATTTCAAAACCGAGCGGATGGTTTTTGAAAAAATGTCATGAACATTTTAGCGCAAAATTCAAAATTATATTAGTTAATTATTTAACTCCAAAAAAAATTCTCAACAAGTTTAACTAATCTCATGTATCAATTTAATTTTAGGGCAAAAAATAAATAAAACACAATAATGGCTCTGCCTCCGACCAAATCAACCGGGTAAGTGAAAATTTTATTTTTGATAATTTTTTGTAGACAATTTTGTTCTGAGGGTTGAAAAGGTTTAGATGTGGAATTATAGATAATTTTATTAGCTTTTTAATGATGTATAATAGTTAGTAGGTATTTAAGTGAATTATATTAAAATAAATATAAATGCAAATAAAAACGTGGTTAAAGCTAAAACAATATGGCGTCTTGCAAAGATTTTAATGCCAAAGTTTAACGAATTTTTTTAATATAATTTTGTTCTAGGAGTATCAAAGTTTTATACACAGATTTATAGACAATTCAATTAGTTTTCAAATGATATATAATAGTTAGTATGTGTTTGAGTAAATTATTATAAAATAAATTTAAATGCAAACAAAAGCCTTGTTGAAGCTAAAACAATATGGGCGCCTTACGAAGATTTTAATGGTCAAGTTTGACGAATTATTTTTATATAATTTTGTTCTAAAAGTTACAAAGTTTTATATACAGATTTATTGACAATTTAATTAGCTTTCCAATGACATATAAAAATTTAAAGGTGTTAAAGTAAATTATTTTAAAATAAATATAAATGCAAGCAAAAGCGTTATTGAAGCTAAAACAATATGGGCGCCTTGCAAATATTTTAATGTCAAAGTTTAAGAAATTATTTTTATATAATTTTGCTCTAAAAGTTGCAAAGTTTTATATACAGATTTATAGACAATTTAATTAGTTTTCTAGTGATTTATAATATCTATGATATGTTTAAGTAAATTATTTTAATATAAATATAAATCAAATCTAAGCGTTGTTGAATCTAAAACAATATGGGCCCTTTACAAAGATTTTAATGCCAAAGTTTAAGGAATTATTATTAAATAATTTTGTTCTAAAAGTTGCAAGGTTTTATTTACAGATTTATAGACAATTTAATTAGTTTTCAAATGGTATATAACAGTTAGCATGTTTAAGTAAATTATAGTAAAATAAATATAAATCCAAACAAAAGCGTTGTTGAAGCTAAAACAATATGGACGTCTTTCAAAAATTTTAATGGCAAAGTTTAAGGAATTATTTTTATAAAATTTTGTTCTAAACGTTTTGGAGATTTATATACAGATTTATAGACAATTTAATTACCTTTCAAATCACATATCATAGTTAGTATATGTTTAAGTAAATTATTATAAAATAAATATAAATCCAAAACCAAAACGTTGTTGAAGCTAAAACAATATGGGCGCCTTACAAAGATTTTAATGCCAAGTTTGAAAAATAATTTTTATATAATTTTGTTCCAACAGTTACAAAGTTTTATATACAGATTTATAGATAATTTTATTAGCTTTCTAATGATATATAATAGTAAGTATGTGTTTAAGTAAATTATATTAAAATAAATATAAATCCAAACAAAAGCGTTGTTGAAGCTAAAACAATATAAATCGAAAAAAAGGCGTTGTTGAAGCTAAAACAATATGGACGCCTTACGAAGATTTTAATGGCCAAAGTTTGACGAAATATTTTTAAATAATTTTGTTTTAAAAGTTGCAAAGTTTTGTATATAGATTTATAGACAATTTTTTGGACTTTCTAACGATATATCATACTGTATAACATTAAGAACAAATTTTGTCAGAACAAAACCAAATATAAAAAAATTTAACCATAGAAATCCCCCAATGACTAATAACTAGATACTGAATTTTTAAATTTCAGATATTTTTTGTAATTAATTTTGTTCCAAAAGTTTATAAACGTTATATACAGATTCATAGAAAATTCTTCAAAGTTTCTAACGATATATCATATATTATTTGGAACAATTTTTTTTTGCAAAATTAACGTAAACTTTGCAATTTAATATTATCAATTCAGTTTTTTTTTCATTCACTTTAATGGACAAAATTTTTGTTCTCACGAATTTTCACAAAACCTTTTGATTTTACGCCAAAACTCTTAAAGCACAAATAGATAATAATATAGATAATCTTATTGATAATAAAATTACCTACCTAAGTTACTTTAACAATATTAAAATCATATAAATATTATAGATGCTACAAAGTTTTGAAAACTAACATTCATTCACCCAAGCAAGTACACCTCCAGGACAAAATTTTAGTTTTTGCAAAATTTCACAAAAACTAATAACTCTGCGCCAAAACTCTTTTCAAACAATTTATAGCCAATAAAATTTTCCATCTAATCTTTTTCAACCAAATTTAAATCGTAAAAAAATTATAGAAACTACATAACTTCAAAAACTTACAATTTTGTTCATTTCCAGGAGCATGAGACGAATGATGCCGCCTGGTACATCAGCGTAAGAAATTTACAAAGAATTTATTTAATATTTTTTTTATTTAATTAATATTAAAAATAATTAATTTTAAAAATATTATAGGCCTGGACAATCAAGAGCACAAGGTGGACCATCATTCAGGTAATAATAAAAAAAAAATTGAATGAAATTGAATAAAGTAAAAAAGTTGTGCACGTTAAAAACTATTTTAAAACACTTGTTTGGGTTTTGATATTTTTTTAAAGTTACTTCAAAAAGTCTAAAAAACCTTCAAATATCATTTATAAAATATTTGGTATATATTAAAAATATATTACAATTATTTTCTACAATTTTTACCCCATGGGTTAATAATAGGACGTTTTTAGAAGAAACCGGTTCTTCATAGTTCACGAATGGGTTTTTATCTTTCATTTTGGTTCCTTACGTCACTTTAGCCTCCAATTTTTTTTATTTAATTACAAAAATGTTAAATACATATTATTTTCATAAATTTGATTTATCAAATTAATTAATTTTGGTAATTTTTAAATAGTTTAGCAGCTTCCGCAAAAATTATGGCCGAAACGAGCAGGGCTTTAGAGAGATTAGGACGACAGAGAATTTTGTGAGTTTTTTGGAAAATTTTGAACTAAACTGGCGTAAGGGACACAAAAAATTATATTTATTAATTTATGCAATTTCTGGATTTTTAATTTATTTTTTATTCATTAATTTTTTTAATTGGGTTGTACTTTTTAAGGTTACAACTAAATATAATTGTGTTAATGAATATTTTTATTTACTAAATTATCAAAAATGTGTGTAAAAAAATTTCTTACGCCAGTTTTGTTTATTTTATTAATTATTTAATATATTTTTTCTATTTTTTTGCAGGGAACCTACTTCATCAATTCAACATTTAAAAATGTAAGTACACGTTTATTTTATTTTAGTAGTTTCTAATATATTTTTTAAATGTTTTTGGACTTTTTTTAGGACAAACTAAATTAATATATTTGAATTTTGAATTTTTTTTATATAATTTTGTTGATTTTAATTAATTTTTCTTTGGTGATTTTTTTCCTAGTATAAGTTTTTTGTAGTTTTTGAGTTTGTTAATTTTTTTAGATTGTATTTATTTAAATTGGGTCATTAGGGACGTTTATGGGACATTGATGGGATAATATTTCATATCTTAAAACTAAAAATCCTTTAAATACAGATTGTGTAAAGCAAACAATTTAGTAAATTTATAAGTTTAATTAAGATATTTTCCACTAGCACCAAGTCTACGTATATAGGACATTCTTGGTGTAGTTATATAACAATTTTTGTTTTTAAAATGTTAAACATTTTTTTGTATTTTTTGCTTTTTTTAATCTAAGATTCAGTTTTTTTAAGTCTAAGCAAAAGTGTTCTTATTTGTTTGATCCGTTGTAACTTCTAAACTACTTTATACGAACAAAATATTTGAAGAAATCATAGAAAATTTACTAGTAAATAATAGTGTCTAATATTGTAAAGCCCTACAGCAACTCGGTATACTCTAAAACCGTTTTTGAAACTTTGCTATTCAACTTTCTTTTATCACGACACACGTTGGACAAAAGTGTACTTTATTGTTTGATTCTTTGTAACTTCTGAATTACTTTATAAAAATTATCAAAATGTTTGGAGAAAATATAGAAAATTTAATAGAAAATAATACTGTCTAATATTATAAAGCCCTACAGCAACTCGGTATACTCTAAAATCGCTTTTGACACTTTACTATTCAACTTTCTTCTATCATTACACACGTTGGATGAAAGTGTTCTTTGTTGTTTGATTCGTCGTAATTTTTAAACTACTTTATGAAAAATATCAACATATTAAGAGAAAGTATAGATAATTATATACTAAATAAAAGTCTGTAGTATCATAAAACTTTACAGCAACTCGGTATACTTCAAAATTGCTTTCAAACCAACTTACTTCTATAATTGAACATTATGGATAAGAGTGTACTTGTTTGTTTGATCCCACGTAACTTTTAAACTACTTATTTTAGATGAACAAAATATTTTGAGAAATTATAGATAATTTAATAATCAATAACATTTTCTTATATTGTCTAACTCTACAGCAACTCGTTATACTCTAAAATCGCATTCAAAGCAACCTACTTCTATCTCTATTCATGCTGTGCAAACGTGTACTCGTTTGTTTGGTTTTTTGTAAATTTTAAACTACTTCACCAAAATAAATCAAATATTCGAAAAAGGTATTGTATAATAAATCATAAATTAAAGTCTCTGATTTTGTGAAACTCTATAACAACTGAGTATACTCTAAAATCGCTTTTGAAACTTTACTATTCAACTTTCTTTTATCATTACACTCTCTTGGCTAAATGTGTCTCTCTGGATTTGATACGTTGTAACTTCTAAACTACTTGTTTCAAATGAACAAACCATTTGAAAAAAGTATAGAAAATTTACTAGTAAATATTTGTGTCTAATATTATTAAGTCCTACAGCAACTCGGTATACTCCAAAATCGCATTTGAATCATCTTGCTTCTATCTCCATTCATGTTGGGCAAAAGTGTACTTGTTAGTCTGATCCGTTGTAACTTCTAAACTACTTGTTTTAAATAAACAAAATATTTCGAAGAAATATAGATTATTTAATAATAAATAATATTCGTTAATATTGTTAAGTTCTACAGCAACTCGTTATACTCTAAAATCGCATTCAAAGCAACTTTCTTCTATCTCCACTCACGTTGGGCAAAAGTGTACCCGTGTGTTTGATCTTTTGTAACTTCTAAATTACTTGTAATAAATAAATGAAATATTTTGAGAAAGTATAGAAAATTTAACAATAAATAATAGCCTTTAATATTATAAAATTGTACATCAACTCAGTATACTTCAAACTCCCATCCAAACCAACCTACTTCTATTTCCACTCACTTTAGGCAAAGGGACACTGATTTGTTTGATTCGTTGTAACTTCTAAGCTAGTTACGTTAAATAAACGAAATGTTTATAGAAAGTATAGAAAATTCAATAGTGAATAATAGTTTCTAACATCATAATACTCTAAAGCAACTTGATATACTCTAAAATTGCTACTAAATATTAAATTGACAATATAAATTGTGACTTTATACACCAATGGGATATCCATGGGACATAAATAGGACATCTATGGGACATTAATGCAATGTTATATTATTTTTATTAAATATTATTAATTATTGTTGAATAATTTCTATCAAATAATAATTATTAGTATTATAATTAATAGTAAATTAATATTTTTCAGCGAAACTAAAAGAAGAGTATCAGGCGAAGGGCTTAATAAGCAGGTTGTTACTAACACGTGAGTATTTATATTATTTATAAATATATATATATATATATATATACATATACACTTTTAACATATGTATATATATATATATATATATATATTAATATAAATATTTTTTAATTTCAGCACTTCTGAATCAATAGTAGTTGATCAGGGTGGACAAGCAACAATGACAGATATGGAAAGGTAAATAAATTATATATATATATATATATATATATATATATGTTGAAAGTGTTTAAATTTGATGTTGAAATGTATGATTGATTTCTTGGAGGGCGTAACATCAAGTAAAAATTTTATTTTTCCATACGTTTCGACGTAAAATTCTACGTCATCGTCAGTGGTTCTACGATTTTGAAGAAAAAAAACAGAAAATAACGTTAAAAATTAAATATACAATAGTAAAAATAAAAAGAAAGAGATTTAACTAGAGAGACAGACTAATTATATCTAAACCTTAAATTAAAATAATGCATAAAACATTACTTAATCTTAGAATTTCAAATAAGTATATTAAAAATTATTAACTTCCCGTAGGGTAAGTTATTGTAATGGGCCGAAAATCGGAATTGAAAATTTTTACATTTCTCGACGTTTTGAAGGTTTCTGAGCATTTTGGCATACCTCAGAAAAAATGGATGTGTGTGTGTGTGTGTGTGTATGTATGTGTGGATACAAATTTCCAGTCACGTTTTAGGGCGCACGGATCAACCGATTTGAATGGTTCAAAAAACATTCGATTCCTATTGATAGGGAAAAGAGCTGATAAGTTTTTGGCAAAGGCAGGTCCAGCCGTTTCGGAGATACGGAGCAAAGAGTGCGGAAAATAGAAATCGAATTTTTGAGAGAACGGAGTATCCGATTTGAATGATCTAAAAAACATTCAATTAGTAATGATTGGGAGAAATGTTTATTAGTTTTTGGCAAAGGCAGGCCCAGCCATTTCGAAGATACAGAGCTAAATATGTAAAAATGGCAGTTTTTGAGAGAACTAAGCGTCCGATTTGAATGATTCAAAAAACTTTCTGCTTGTCTTAACAAAATAATTGATTTTGGAAAAAAAAATTTTGTTCCATTTTTTTTTTTTTTTTTTTAGTTTTTGTTGAAACAAATAATTTCAACTCTGCAATTCAGTTTATATAATTCTTATAAATATTAGACAATGTTACAATATTTATAATGATCTATTTGAAAACATTCAGTATTCCTCGAACATTTCGTTACGGTACGGGAAGTTCCAGCAATTTGCCTTAAGGCACGATGCCACCCACCCCACTAGTTTAATTTTTCAACTTATATTAATTAATCTTTAATTTTCAGAGTGAGGAGACAAGCGCAACGACAACCTAGTACATCAAGGTAATACTTATCAAATATAATACTTCTATCATGATAAAATAGAATAATAAAATGGATATTATGTTAAAAGTAACAGTCGCAGTGCTTTGTTTTGTGTAGTATGTAATTTCTTACAAGTTTGGCTTTTTTATACTAAGTTTTATTAATTTTTTGTTTATAGGTGTCCGCAGAGTAGCAGCGGAACAGGCGCAATTAGGCGAACGTCGCGGCCGACGACAGCGCCGGCATCTGTCGGCAGAGGCGCTGCTCCTGCAGCAAGACAAGCGTCCACTGTAAGTATATACATGGAACTAGTTAAGCATTGGTACGGAACCCATAGGAATGTAAACAAAATGTATACTTATTATTAAAATCTCTATAAAATATCTAATAATTTGATGTGCATATGTCTAATGATCAGTTTTGACCGCCAGATGCCATTATTTTTTTTTACTTTTTTTGTTAGATCTCCGAAACCGCTAGACCTGCCCTCATGAAAATTTGATCAGTCTTCATATTGTTAATACAAGTAAAATGTTTTTTGAATTATTAAAATCGGACGCTCTGTTCTCTTGAAAACTGAGTTATCGTTTTGGCATTTTTTGCCCCGTATCTTCGGAACAGCTAGACCTGCCTTCGCCAAAAACTAATCAGCACACGTCTCTTTATCAATACGAATCATATGCTTTTTGAATTATTCAAATCGCTTCATCCGTGTTCCCGAAATCGTCGACGAGCATTTGTATCCGAATACACATACACACGCACACACACACACATATACGCATATATCCATTTTTTCTAAGGTATGACAAAATATTCAGAAAGTTTTGAAACGTAAAGACATAAAAATTTTCATTTTCGATTTTTTTGCAATTACTATAACTCACCCTACGGGAAGTTAATTATAATAAAATTTTATTATTTTATTGACAAATTGCCCTTTTGGGGCTGAAGTGTGAAATAGCTGAAAAACAATATATTTTAATATTATTAACTATCCGTAGGGTAGTTATAGTAATGGGCCGAAAATCGAAAATGAAAATTTTTGCATTTCTCGACGTTTTGGAGGTTTCTGAACATTTTTAAGGGGCATACCTCAGAAACTAAATGGATGTGTGTGTGTGTGTTTGTTTTGTATGTCCGCATTTTTTCGTCCACGTTTTCGGTCGCACGGATCAGCCGATTGGAATAGTTCAAAAAACATTCGATTCCTATTGATAGGGAGATGTGCTGATTAGTTTTTGGCAAAGAGAGGTCCATTCGTTACGGAGATACGGGGCAAAGAGTGCAGAAAATACAAATCGAGTTTTTGACAGAACGGAGTATCAGATTTGAATGATCTAAAAAATTTTCTGCTTGTATTGACAAAACAATTGCTTTTGAGGATAAAAAAATTATTACATCTTATTTTATTTTCCATAAAATATTTTTTTGTAATTTTGGATTAAAAATTCAAAAAATTCAAAAAATTACCCAGGCTAAGCACAGTCTAAGCCCCACTCTGGTACAAATGTACAACCCAAGTGCGTTTAGACTGCTTATGTATTGGAGCACTTTTCCAATTTGGTAAAAACTATTGAAAAATGTAAAAATACCGCCAAGCTCAGCACAGTATGAGTGAGAATATCGCACGGAATTATTTGCAAATGCGTTTAGACTGTGACTATACTGGAGCATTTTTTCAATTTTGTGCAAATTATTAGGCAACTATTTTTTTGTTTGAAATTGAATTCGAAATAAAATGATGATTGTTAATGTTCTGGAGATAATCTGGATTGCCCGGTTAATTTGATAACATTTGACATTAGTTAGCTTTGCGCGACGATCGGCAAAGCCGTTTCTTTATAATTAGAAAAAAATGAAAAAAAAACACGTACACCTTGTCTTGTTCTGGATAAATTTTTACGGTTTTCTTTTGTAATTTTTTTCAAACTCCGATTGAAAAAATGCAATGAAAAGTGAAGAAAAATTACTTAAAAATGACAGTTGTAGTTTTTGATTACTAATTTTATACTTTTATCAAATAATCATTTATTTCACCTACATAAATTCTCACAGATAGATTCAGAACGATTTTTAATGACTAATTTTAACAATTTAGATCATGTAGGACATTCATAAGACATTGATGGGATATTGGAAAGATTTTAGAGCGCAATTTATTTATAATCTGAAAATTTAGTAAGACGTATATACATTTTTCTAATTATTTTAGCCTAATGTTAGCTTGTACAATTTTCAAATTTTTTTTTAAATTTTAGCAAGTATGCAAGAGAGCCTTAGGGCCAAGAAAACAAAAAACAGCTGAAGAAATGCGAGCTATAGCTTTGGCCAAGGCTGCTGCACAAAGGGAGCAGGAAAGGGCTAGAAGAGGTCATATTTTCATTATAAATATATATATATATATATATATATATATAATAAAAATATATTTTTTAATATTCATTTTCATTTTAGATGAGGAGATGTCTGTTGACGATTTGTTGGGCATTCGGGTAAGTCTTTATGATATTCATAATTTCAACTAATTTTATTTTACATTAGTTATTTATAATTAATTAGTTCTAATTATAATTAACTAGTTTTTGATATTTTTATTTGCAGCGACCTCAGAGAAGACAAACCGAAGAAGGTAAATTAATTTTTAACTTAAGAATTCATAAACTTATTTAAATACTTTCAATAATCAATTTATTTTTTTAGTACTATCCCTGGATCAATTTTTGGCCAGACATGTTTATGAATCGGAAGTATGTATATTTATAAATATATATTATATTTTTTTATATTTATATTTAATAAATTATTACTAATATTTGTTTTTTTTTTCAACAGCCTGTACCGCCGCCGCCTCCTGTACAACCAACTGCATCAGATAGTAAGATTTATTTAATTTGTTTATTTTAGATTTTAGATTTTTTGTCCAAATTTGAACCCATTTTAGTCCCACAATCGTCTCTTGATAGTCCCATACATTTTTTTGTTATAATTTATTTTTGTTAATCAATAGTTTAATGTTTTATTTACAAAATTGATAGGTGAGTCCCATACATGTACCAGATTTTGGTTAAAATTTTAGGAACAAATATCTCCAAAATTTTTTGCAACGGACTTTAAAATTTGTTCATTAATTTCCCGATGAATATGTTTTGTTTTGGCACAAAAATCCGATTTGCTAATTTTATGTTCTAACGACGTTTCAAGTCATTCTGAATCCAATCAGACCTAATTTGGAAAAAAGATGTGCATGTACATGAGCCGATTTTTTACCTTTCGTCGACGTTTTTTAAAAAACGGCTAAATCAATTTCAAAAATTTAAAAGTCATTTGATGTAACTCGATAAGGACTAGCTTTTGTCAGTTTTGTACGACGATCAGACAAGCCGTTTCCTTGTAAATTGCAAAAAAGTGAAAAAAAATTCGTCCACGTTTGAGCGCACAATCCTGAATCGATTTTAAAAATTCAAAAAAAAATTAAGAAAACAGTTGTAGTGCTTTGTTTTGTGCAGTCTGTAAATTCTTCGTAGTTTGTATTTGCGTGTATAAAATTTCAATTAAGTTTCATAATAGAATTATGGTGATCCCAATCGGTTCTATTAACGTCTCACAGATGTCACACATATATAAAACAGCAGAAGTTCTAGTTAATTAGATTTTACAAATATAAATAATATTTTGTACTTTTTCACAGTTATATCTCTCGAGAATTACTTGGATGAAAATATTTATGGAACAGCATCCTCACAAGTTTGTGTAAGTAAATACAATTATATATATACATATGTATATATGTATATATATATATATGTATATATATATATATATATATATGTATATATATATATATATATACATATGTATATATGTATATATATATATATATACAAATTATAATTATTTATAATTTTTACAGCCTGCTCCTTCAAAGAAAGAAGATGAAGTTGAAGAAAGTACGTCTGAAATGTATATTATTGGGGTAATTCTGCCATACAGAGAAAACTGTTAAAATGTCTATCTATTTGCTGTGCGTTCAGGCGTATTTTACATATAAACAAAGCAAGGTAGAATGTTCAGATAACAGAATCTTCGATGATAGAGTCTTTCTTGCTTTATTCATATGTAAAACACGCCTGATCGCACATCAAATATTTAGACATTTTCTGTTACGGCAGATTTGCCCTATATATAAATCTATATATATTAGAATGTTTTTTAATAAAATGTTATATTTATTTTTGCAGTCCTATCACTTAACGAGTTTTTGAGACGGGACGTTTACAATGAACCGCCACCACCGGTATTTATACATATAGATATATATATATATATATATATATATATATATATATTTATATATATATATATATATATTATATATATATATATATATATATATTAGAAATTTATTTCAACACTTTAGAAAAAGATAGATGAGTCATAATTATCATGATTTTGTTAAAACTTGTGTAAAACAGCTGAACCGATTTTGATGCTTCAAAGTAACAAACAAAAGTTAATGCAGTTGAAACGTTTTTGTTCCGTTTTTTTTCTGTTGTAAACGGATTTAGGCTTAAATTAATTCTAGATTTTGAAGAATTTGAGAGAACACATGCATCGATTATATGTTTTTAAGACAAACCACGTTCCCTTAAATTATATCTCTAAAGTTCTGAAAAATACGTACAAAAATATTAATGCTCGTTAGTAGAGTCATTTTACTTAATTTATTTGTTTAGTACAGTTCTTTTCAACACTCTTATATTTTATTGTGTTTGTCAGTAGTGTCCTTGTTTTTTTTATTTTATCTAATTTTGTTTACACGTAGAGTTCTTTTCAACACTTCTATCGAATTATGCTCGTCAGTAAAGTCCTTTTCAACAATTTTATCTAATTTTTGTCATCAGTTTTTTTTGACTTTTTTGTTTGTCGTCAATAGTATCATTTTTATCACTTTTTTCACTGGTCAATAGTTATTTTTCATTTGTTTATCATTAGAGTCCCTTCAACACTTTTATCTAATTTTGCTCGTCCGTAGAGTCCACTTTAAGCTTTCGTTCCTTTTGAGAGTCACTTTTTTTTCATTTTTGTCGAATTGTCGAATTTTATTTGTCAGTAGTCTTTTTTAATACTTTCCTGTTGCTTTGCTCGTCAGTAGAGTTTTTTTACTTTTATTTCAATTTGCTTGTCAGTATAGTCCTTTTTGTGATTTGTTAGCCAGTAGAGTTCTTTTTCCACTTTTTTAATTTGTTTGTCAGTAGAGTCCTTTTTTCACTTTCATCTATCTTTGCTCGTCAGTAGAGTCCTTTTCTGACTCTTTTTCTTTGCTTATTTATCAGTGAAGTTCTTTTTCACTCTTATCTAATTTTGCTCGTCAGTAGAGTCCTTTTCAATATGCTTTTCTAAATTTATTTTTCCTTATTTTCCTATTATTATTCACAGGTTCGTCCTCCAGCAGCAGTAAGGTGTCCTAGTCCTATACCCGAAGAACCTTCGAATTTGTATTCAGATTATGTAAGTTATTTTTGGAAAAATAATGCATAAAAATTACATTATTATATTTATTATTATTTATTATTCTTTTCTAGGAGCCTCCTGCAGGAAGGGCTCCTCCTCCTCCCCCAGAAGTTGAGATTCCTGTGGCAGTAGCTGAGGTAAGATATATATATATATCTATATATATAATATATATATATATATATATATATATATATATCTTCTATATATATAAAAAGTCGGGTTTTCCTATATATATATATATATATATATATATATATATATATATATATATATATATATATATTATAATTATTGACTCTTTATTTTTTAATTTAGACATTCAATTTCATTCACTAAAAATCATTCTTTCATCAATTAAATCGTTTAAAGTTTCTATTTAAAATCTGTTTGCTTGTCAGTAGAGTCCTTTTTCTCTTCAGATATCAAATTAGGTCGTCAGTGGAATTCTTTTCTGATTTTATATAAAGGCATTAAATTTGCTCGTCAGTAGAGTCCTCATTCTCATTTTAAATTTTTTTGGTCTTTTTCTAATTTTTAATCTTTATATTAAATTTGTTGAATTTTTGATTCAAATTACTTTGCTTGCCAATAGATTTTTTTTCTAATATTGTATATTATATATTAAATTTGTTTGTCAGTAGAGTCCTTTTATAATCTTCTATTTAAATATATAATTTGCTCGTCAGTAGAGTTCTTTTCTTTTAATTTTCTATTTCGATATGAAATTCGTAAGTAGAGTCTTTTTTATATTTTAATTTGCTTGTCAGTAGAGTTTCTTTTTATTCTTATTTGTTTTTTGGTAGAGTTTTCTTATCATACTGTAATTTACTTGTCAGTAGAGTCTTGTTTATCAATTTTTCTTAATTCGCTCGTCAGTAAAGTCCATTTTATCACGTTTTTTTTATTAGTTCGTCAGTAGAGTCACTTTTTATCACTTCCTCCTTGATTTGATATTTTGATAATTATCTCATTTTGTTCGTAAGTAGACTCCTTTTCTCTACTATTTTCATCATCTGTTCAGCAATAGAGTCCTCTTAACACATTTTGTTTTATTCATTCGTCAGAAGAATTATTTTAATACTTTTTTCTCATTTGTTTTTCAGCCCGTGTTTAATTTTGATCGTAAGTAGCGTTGTTTTTTTTTTTTTTTATTTGTTCGTTAGTAGAGTTCTCTTTCTTTCGTTATCAGCCATCAGAAGAGTTTTATATTTTTATTTGATTTACGAAACATTCAGTTTGCTCGTCAGTAAAGTCCTTTTATAATATTGTAACTCACTTGTCAGTAAAGTCCTAACTTTTTATACTTTAATTTGTTTTCTTCCTTGTCTTAGTTTGCTCGTCGGTAGAGTCTCTTTTTTATTTTAACTTGCTCCTCCGTAGGGTCCCTTTTTAATACTGTAACTCACCTGTAAGTAGAGTCCTAAGATAAAAAAAGCAAACTAAGATAAAAATGTATAGAAAGGACTCTACTGATGAGGAAAATTAGATAAAACTATTGAAAAAAACTCTACTGAGTACATAATTTGATAAATTTATTGTCAAACCTTTGGCACTCCAATTTTTTATAAATAATTAAAAACACTAAATTTAAAAATCATAAAAATCAAAATTTTAATTTGTATACACTAAAATATATGAAAAAATACAGCGTCTGCCATCTAACTTATTTTTTTGCAACTAGTGGGCAACCATTTGAATGAAATTATTTTAACTAAATTATTTACTACCCAAAAGGATTATTTTTTGAAATATAGAAAAATATTTGTCAAAAAATTCAGTAGTTTTTTTATTGCATTTTCTAAAAAACAGTATATTGTAACAAATAATTAAGTAAATTGCAAATTTTAGAAAAGTCCCAGCAGATGTCTCTATGTGTTTTGTTTCTCTATTTACAGGATCTTCAACGAATTCCTACTGATTACACGACACCGGTAAGTAATTTATATTGATATATATATATATATATATATATAATATAGTAATATTTTTGTATTTTCTAGAAAATACACAATGGTATTTAGATTTTTATACCTAAAAGGTCATAAAACTGCCTCTCAGAAGAGAAAGCGACCGCTATTTCTTCCCAAAGCAAAAATGCCAAAAACAGTAAATTAACACACGAGTTAACAGATTTAATACCAGTTTAGGAAAGTCGGATATGACAAATCCTGTGAAACAACTCCACTCGGATTCACTCCGAGGGAGGAGTTGTATCGGAGTGACAACTCCGGAGTGAGTTACCCATCTCTAATATATATATATAGATATATATATATATATATATATATATATATATATATATATATATATATATATTAGAGATGGGTAACTCACTCCGGAGTTGTCACTCCGATACAACTCCTCCCTCGGAGTGAATCCGAGTGGAGTTGTTTCACAGGATTTGTCATATCCGACTTTCCTAAACTGGTATTAAATCTGTTAACTCGTGTGTTAATTTACTGTTTTTGGCATTTTTGCTTTGGGAAGAAATAGCGGTCGCTTTCTCTTCTGAGAGGCAGTTTTATGACCTTTTAGGTATAAAAATCTAAATACCATTGTGTATTTTCTAGAAAATACAAAAATATTACTTACAAAACAAAGATACAGAACAATGAAATTGTGTTCAAGTGTGAATATCTCCAATGTATAATTTATTGAATAGTGAGGGGTCATATTTCTAACTACGACAATCTTTGGCCGTATAACAATATACAAAGCAAAATACATTTATTTAATCTGGTTTTTCTATAGCCTGAAATAACAACACTTTAGAGTTCAAAATGTATCAGTGATATCATTAGTATTTAAGCCTCAAAAAATATTTAGTATTATATTATTACTTTTACACAATTATATAATTGTGTAAAAGTAATAATATGATAATCGAACTACGCGATATGATATTAATTCTCAAATGAAAATAGCGGAAGAAAAATTTTGAAAGCAAAAGTATGTTCACTACAAAGCTTTTTTTACAAAGTTTACTACGTAATTTTTATATAAGATTAATCCAAAAAATCAATTATTTTCTCATCAGAAGGAAATAATTAAATTGAATATGATTCTCAAGTTTTGAGTTTTTACTTTGGTCAATACTGTTAAAATTACGAGTCACTGAGTCGATCATCTGGTCGACCGAAAAATTTTACAACCCGTCATTTATTCGTGAATTCTTTAGAAAAATTATTTTATTGATATTCATAAATTTTCATTTCAAATAATTAATAGGATTTGACAAATCCTCAGCTATGTAAACAACGCGCTATAGAATACATTTGTGTCGAGTATTTCGGTTTCAAAATTGTCGGAGTCGTGGAGTTGTTAAGCGGATATAACTCCTTCCTGAAGCGGAGTCAAATCCGAGTCGATCCGGCTTCGGATATGATAAGCCCATCTCTAATATATATATATATATATATATATATATATATATATATTAACACGTTAACTGCCGCAGCAATTTTAAAAGATCTGACCAAAATATCAATTTGTTTTAATAATATTGTAATCTGCGTTAGTTAGAATTCTTTTGTAGGTGGCAGTCAACGTGTTTATTTGTTAGTAGTAAATATTAATACTGATGTTTTGTGGTTAGGTTTGTCCCAGGCCGCAGAAGGGTCGTCGTGGCTTACAACCACCCAGAGGCGCCGTTAGGAGGATTCCTGGGCCTGGACCTGGGCCTGGGCCTTCGGGGCTTCGACTAGTTTCTTCACAACAGGTAAATAATTTGACAAACAAACATTTCAAAAACATATATCCTTTACCCCTTATATATCCTTTAATTCCAGTCCCAACTACGACCCCCGCCCTCGGCCCAAGCCTCGGCCCGCAGCATAGCTCCGCCGCCTGCCCAAGTATGTCCCTTGGTCCGACGTCAATCGAAACCCTCGTCGGCCGCCCAGGTCTGCCCTCGGCCCTCCGTACAACGTCAACAGCGTGCCGTACCGCAACCGCAGGTGTGCCCGAGGCCGCCGTCGGCACCACAGGCTGGACCTTCGGGTCTCCCTGGGCCGAGTCGCATCGGTCGCCCGGGGATACCGAGACCGGGGATACCTAGACCAGGAGGTATACCGAGACCAGGGATACCGAGGCCGGGAGGTGTACCCAGGACGGGAGGTGTACCCAGAGCGGGTGTACCGAGGGGCGGTATACCGAAGGCTAAAAGTGCAATTGCGAGGGCGGCTGTGTCGGCGGCGCAGCAGGTTTGCCAGATGATACCGGAGACTATGGAGGAAGAGGTAAGGGATGAAAAAAATTGGCTTATTTCTTATATTTAATTATTGTTTTATTGACTAGTGGTGTATTGCATATTTTTGTAAATTTTGAAATTTGTTTTTTCGAAAAATTTTGAAATTTGTTTTTTCGGAAAATTTTGAAATTTGCTTGAACCGTATAAGTTGTGGGGAAATCAAGCAGACTAGACTTGGAGGAAAAAAGCAATTGGACTTGTCATTTTTTTATCATTAATTTTTATAATCAATAAATTTTATATATTTGGTGTACAACTTTGCTTCCGCCGTTTTTTAACTTTCCGTAGGGCAAGTTATAGTAATCGCAAAAAAATCGAAAATGAAAATTTTTATATATCTTTACGTTTCAGGGTTTCCGAATATTTCGGCATATCTTAGAAATAATGAATGTATGTGTGTGTATGTGTATGTATGTGTGTGCGGATACAAATTTTCGTCGACGATTTCTGAAACACGGATCATCCGATTTGAATAATTCAAAAAACATTCAATTTATATTGATAAAAAAACGTGCTGATTAGTTTTTGACAAAGTCAGGTCTAGCCGTTTCGAAGATACGGGGCAAAAAGTGCCGAAAACAATACCTCAGTTTTTAAGAGAACGGAGCGTCCGATTTTAATAATTCAAAAAACATTTTACTTGTATTGACAAGATGAAGATTTGATCAAATTTTCATAGGGGCAGGTCTAGCGGTTTCGAAAATCTAACGAAAAGAGTAATAAAAAATGCCATTTGGCGGTCAAAAATGATCACTAGACATATGCACATCAAATTATCAGATATTTTATAGAGATTTTAACAATAAGTATAAGTTTAGTTTACATTCCTATGAGTTCCGTACCAATGTTTACGCGTTAGACGTCGACGCGGCGCTTATGCGCTTTATATTTTGTCCCTATGCAGTTAAAGCAGTACGATTCCTTTGAAAAAAAGTTCAGATCTTCCAACATATGTCAAAATAAAGAAAACATTTTTTTTTCAAAAAAAAAATTAAAAAAAAAAAAAATTTAAAAATTTTTTCAATTTAAAAAAAAAGAATTTTTTTGTCAAATTTATAGTTTCTCAAAAATCTTATTTTTTCGAAGTAAAATTTTTTTCAAAAATATTAATCGTTTTTTTAAAAAAATAATAATTTTTGGTACGGGAAGTTCCAGCAATTTGCCTTAAGGCACGATGCCCTAATTGCCTTAAGACAGACTTCCACTTACAGCTAGTATTTAATTATTGTTTTATTGACTTTGTTTGTTCTTACCATAGGGTAAAAGTATTGCCTCATTGTACTGTATTTACTGAAGTAAAACTTCTTTAGGCGCGACTAGGGTGTAAATCCGTACAAATGCAACGGAAGTGCGTTATGGCAGATAAGATAAGATAAGAGTCGAGTGCCAATAATTCGTCTTCGCTCTCGATGATATCATTTCTATACGTGTCGATTGTGATTAGTCGTCGTGTCGAGTGAATAGAGATCTGTCGCTGTATGCGTACCGGCATCAACGTTGCATGCGTACCGATAACAACAAGGAAATCGGCATAGATAGATAAACATTTTAAAGTTACATTTTAGTACAAATCTTGATTTAATGAAAAATGCCTGAATCAGAAGAATATTTTACCCCGTTCCTTGAAAATAATAAAACAAATTAAACATTTGTGCCGTGTACTAAACGTAAGTTAAAATAGATAATGTGAAGAAAGAAGGTCTCTACTGACGAGGAAACTTTAGGTCTGATCTAAAAGATTAAAAAGGACTTTACTGACGAGCAAATAAAAAATCGAATAGTTAAAATATGATCATAAATTTTATCTTAAAGTTAAAAAGGGATTCTACTGACAAGCCAACAAAGTTTTAATCGATAAGAAAATACAGAAAGGCACTCTACTGACGATCAAATTTGAAACTAGCAAATATAAAAAGGACTCTACTGACTGTCAAACTAAAAGTTGACAAAAAAGATCAAAGGACTACTGACAAGCAAACTTTCTAATTTTTACTTGGAAGAAGAAAATCTACTGGCAAGACAAATTTAATTTAGATACTAAAAGAAACTGTACTGATAAGCAAAAATATTAATGAAAAATGTTTTGTGAAAGGGACTCTACTGACGAGCAAATTTTAATTTCAATCTAGAAGAGAAGAAAGGGACTCTACTGACGAGCAAAATATGAATAAGAAATGTCTCTAAAAAAGAACTCTACTGACGAGCAAAGTCAATTTTAATTTGAAATATTTAAAAATGGACTTTACTGGCGACCAAATTTGAAATTCGTAAATATGAACAGAGATTTTATTGTCGACAAACTAAAAATTGTCAAAATGTTAAAAGTACTAAAACTAACTGACTTGAAAAGCAGATTCTACTGACGAGCAAATTTATAAAAAAGGACTCTACTGACGTGCAAAATGAATATCGTCTTGAAAAAAGTGAAAAAATACAATTAGTCAATGAATGTATGTTAATTTTAATTACATGAAGTTCTTCAAACACAATTATTACATGATCAGTGAAATTACGAAAACAATATTTGTTTAGGCGTTGTTTAACATAATCCACTGTGTGAACGATTATTATAGAATTTATTAATCAGCAATCACTTTATTTCTCTAATGAAGGTTCAAGTCCTAGATGCTAATTACAATGACAAACCGATCATGTCATATTTGAAGTATGACTTTGATTTCATTATTGTTTTTAAATTTTATTGGAAACCGCCGTTAGGCATTACTTCGTGGGGGGAGGATCTAGAATGTTATCATTCTGAACTTGAACTTGGATATATGTGTGTGTGTGTTTATGTATGTATGTGCTGATACATACAGGATAAATTTTTATTATTATTGTGTTTTCTAATTTTGTTTTTGTTTTTTTTAGGTTCCTGTACGTGATATGGTTGCAATCGAGGCTATGCAAGACATCATAGAAGCGGATCGGCAGATCAGGGAAGCTATTGCAGAAGGTATTTAAATATACATATATATATATATATATATATATATATATATATATATATATATATATATATATATATATGTGTGTGTGTTATATTGTTAAAATTAAATTTGTCATATTGCAGAAGAAGCAGCTTTCCAGCAAAGCCTGAGGGAAGAGGTAATTTGTTGCTACTTAATATATATATATATATATATATATATATATATATAAATATTTATATATATGAATTAAAATAATACCTCGATTTTACAGATTTGCCCAGCAGCTGTTCCTGAAGAAGAAATGTATTTTGATTTTGTAAGTTATTTTAAGAAAAATAATGACTTACAATTTCATAATTATTATAATATATATATATATATATATAGATATATATATATATATATATATATATATATATATATATATATATATATATATACACCTAAGTCTGTTTTTACACGGTAGATTGGTTCCAGAAGAAGCCGTGTAAAAAAACGCGTAAAAAAAGACATTGATCTTATACAAAAATGGGTGATTTGTTCCTAATCTCCAAAACCTATTAAAATTAGTGAAAAACAAGAATTTTTAGGGTATTCCCCTAAATTAGTGCTATTCACATTTGCTTTCACCAGTAAAAATTGTTAACCACTTAAATCTTTAAGGTTCGCAAACTATCGATACTATCGATGGTTTCAGACTTTTTTCTTTCATAAATACTTTTTTGTGATATCAACATACTTCGCAAAAATTAAATTTGACAAAAAAAAAATTAAGTACATAAAATTTCAAATCGTGCTAAATGGAATAAAATCGTGTAAAAAAATTAAAAATATTCAATTTTCAAACCGTGTTATATCAAAACCGTGTACAAAAAGACCGTGTAAAAACAGACTTAGGTGTATATATATATTAATAAATATATATTTACATACATATATATTTAATTATATAATATATTTTTATTTTTTTAAGTCGGGAAGACTTGAAGACTTTACGCCTCCTCCAAGAGCAATTCAAGAATTTATGTTGGATGAACCCATGGTTAGTATATATATATATATATATATATATATATATATATATATATATATATATACACTATTTACACTTCAATATTTTACGACATTCTTTTCTTTTCATTCTTTATATTCTCGTCAGTAGAGTCTTTTTCTTTTATCGTGTCAAAATTTCGGTTTGCTCATCAGTAGAGTCCTTTTTCATTTTCTCTAAATTGTCTGTGGAGTTCTTCTACCTCTTGTGTTAGAATTTTAATTTGCTTGTCAGTAGAATCTTATTTCCTATTTTCAAGGTTGTCAGTAGAGTTCTTTTTCTTTTTTGTGTTAAAATTTTAATTTGCTTGTCAGTAGAGTCCTTTTCCTTATTTTCTAGGTTTGAATCAAAATTTTAATTTACTTCAATTTGTTTTCTATCTTCTAAGTCGACAGTAGAGTCCTTTCAGAGAAAAGTCTTCTTTTATTTTTTAAGTCGTCAGTAGAGTTTTTTTCTCCTCGTGTCATAATCTTTTATCTATTTTTTATCTTCTAGGTCATTAGTAGAGTTCTTTTAAATTCTGTGTCACAATTTTAGTTTTGCTCGTCAGTAGAGTCCTTTTTCATATTCTAGGTTGTCAGTAGAGTCCTTTTTTAATTTTGTGTGTCAAAATTTTAGTTTGCTCATCAGAAGAGTTTTTTTTTTCATGTTCTTTAATTATTACAAAGATTACTTGAATATGAGTGTAATAAAAAAATAATAATACCTATTCTGTCAGAACAACTCGAGATAATTAATTTACCGCAGATGATGTTCATAGAAATTGTGCAAACAATTCATATTTCAAATGCAAATATTTACGTGAAAAAATTTTTTTCAGCAAAATCCTAAAATACGTGTCATATTATTTTATGTATAAAATCTGTAAAAAAAATTTCAGACGATTTTAAAATGCCAGGGTCTGGTTAGTGTGCTGTTTGTTAAAGAATGACCAATATATCAATTTATTAAAAATACACAGGACCAGTCTTTTAAATAATATATATATATATATATATATATATATATAAATATATATATATATATACATATATATTTAACTTCCCGTAGGGCAAGTTATAGTAATCGCAAAAAAATCGAAAATGAAAATTTTTATATATCTTTACGTTTCAGAGGTTTCTGAACATTTTGGCATACCTTAGAAAAAATGGATGTGTGTGTGTGTGTGTGTGTGTGTATGTGTGTGTGTATGTATGTATGTGTGTGTATGTATGTGCGGATACAAATTTTCGTCGACGATTTCGGGAACACGGATCAACCGATTTGAATAATTCAAAAAACATTCGATCCGTATTGATAAGGAGACGTGCTGATTAGTTTTTGGCAAAGGCAGGTCAAGCCGTTCCGAAGATACGGGGCAAAAAGTTCCGAAAACGGTAACTCAGTTTTTAAGAGAACGGAGCGTCCGATTTTAATAATTCAAAAAACATTTTATTTGTATTGACAAGGTGAAGAATCGATACAACTTTTATGAAGGTAGGTCCAGCGGTTCCGGAGATATAGAGGAAAAAGTAAAAAAATGAGCCATTTGGCGGTCAAAAATGATCATTAGACATATGCACATCAAATTATCAGACATTTTATAGAGATTTTAACAATAAGTATACATTTTGTTAACATTCCTATCGGTTCCGTACCAATGCTTATGCGTTAGACAGCGACGCGGCGCTTACGCGCTTTATATTTTGTCCCTAGGTAGTTAAAGCAGTACGATTGCTTTGAAAAAAAAGTTCAGATCTTCCACAATATGTCAAAATAAAGAAAAAAAAATTTTTTTTCAAAAAAAAAACTAATTTTTTGTCCAATTTATAGTTTCTCAAAAATCTTATTTTTTAAAACTAATTTTTTTTCAAAAATGTTAATCGTTTTAAAAAAAAATAATAATTTTTGGTACGGGAAGTTCCAGCAATTTGCCTTAAGGCACGATGCCCTAATTGCCTTAAGACAGAATTCCACTTACAGCTAGTTTTTTATATTTTTCAGACTCCTCCTTCAGGAATGATTCTGGATGAATATTTTACTCCTCCAGGAAGACCTCGAGGATATCCGTATCCTCCAATGGTAAATAAATAAATAACTATATATATATATATATATATATATATATATATATAATTTTTTTTTACTTTGTTTAGACTCCTCCGTCAGGAAGAATTGACGAAGAATTTTTCACACCACCAAGAAGACCTCCAGGATTTACTTGTCCTTATTCAGGACCTATTGTAAATATATTTATAAACACACACATATATATATATATATATATATATATATATATAATTATATATAGGGCAATTTACAGCCCAATTCTGCCTTTTAGCATAGCGTTTTCAGGGTAACGCTATCTTATGCTTATTCCTTGTTAGTGAAAATGTATTTCTATTTGTCGTGCGATCAGGCGTATTTTACATATAAACAAAGCAAGGAATAATATTTTGATAACAGATTCTTCGATTCGCAATTATCATAAGATTCTTTGTAAGGCAATATTGGTCAATTAATTTCTTATTTTCAAACCAACATTGTTATAAAATCAAGTACAAAGTTTTCAATGCTATCTATGTTGGTAAAACAGACAATTGTGTGGTTATGCAATAATTTAAATGAATAAAATTAAAATTATAATCATACTTTGGTTACTGACTGCATTAAAAATCACAATCGTAGTTTCAATTTTGTCGTTGCTACAATACTTTATTGTGAATCGAATTAAACACAGAGACGCTTTGCGGAATCTTGTTTTATTCAGCTATACAAAAACAGCATCAATAAAAGGATTGATACTTTTTCTGTCTGAAAGAGATACTACATTTTAAATAATATTTCTGAGTTTCTTTTTTTTTAATCTATACAATTTTTATAACTAAGTATAATTATTTATATCTTCTATTGTTTTATAGTTAAGTTATTTTGTATGCGTTTTTTCTTCAAATTGATGGCATAGATTAATATGTCGAATCGTATTATTAAGGATGTAAAATCATACTATTAAGCATATATGAAATTTTTAAATTTTTATTTGATATATTGCGCTAAAGATTATTAATAATATATAGATAGACACACACGCACATTTATATATATATATATATATATATATATATATATTATTTTTATTTCTAGACTCCGCCTTCAATAAGACTTTCAGGATATACTCCCGTAATTCCTGCAGGATTTGCGCCTCCTTATTCTGATAATATGGTAAGTATAAAATACATGTTATCAGTGATGTTTGTCCTCAATGTACTCCTAAACTACTGAACCGATTTTAAATTTTATTTGCTCATCGTATACATTTATATCTAACTTAGGATATAGACTATATTAAAAATCTCAGTTCATATTCGAAATGTTAAAATTTTAGTAAATTTCATTAATTTTGACAGTTATGGATTTGAAGAAAATTGTGAAATGTCTGTTGTTAATAGATTTTTTATTTACTTTTAATTTGTTAACCGTGACAAGATCCTAATGATATAAATTAACATAATTTATAATCGAAACGTTATATTAGTCAAAAATCAAGAATAATATGTCATTTGTAAATATTAAATATTTGAACTGTTGACTGTACATCTAGATTCAAATTTGAATCTAGTAGATTTTATGAAATGCCACAGCTAAACGTGGCCGGGTATGCTAGTATATATATAAATTATTTTTTTATTATTTTTATAGTTTGGCAGACCCGAAGACTACTCACATATTACATATGATGAACCAATGGTAAGTGTTAATTGAAATATATTATTGAATATATATATATATATATATAAATATATATATATATATATATATATATATATATATATATTACGATTATTTTTATTTCAGGGTCCTGAAATTAGACCTGAGGACTACGTAACACCAGTAAGTCTCCAATTAATATTTATATACAAATTAATAATCAATAATTTAAAGATAAAAAGGACTCTACTGACGAGCAAAACAGGAACCAGACACACACATTAATATATGATATTTATAGAGGTAAGGGAACTCTACTGACGATCAAATTTAAAGTGATAAAAATATTTAAAAGTTAGAAAAAAGGACTGTACTGCTAATAGAAAAGGGTCTACAGACGAATAAATAAAAAGTGTTTCGGAAAAGGATTGGATTGACAAGTAAATTAAACTTGGAAAAAATATTTGAAAGTTGGAAAATGGGACTCTACTGACAAGAGCAAATTCAAACATTTTTTAAAAAACTGGATTTGTACTGCCGAGCACATTTATACATTTGTTTTTTTTAACGAGCAAATTTATATATTCATTTAAGGGGAAAAGAACTCTACCGACGAGCAAATTTATATTTTTTTAAGAAAAAAAGAACTCTACTGACGAGCAAATCTATACATTTTTTATGAGAAGGGGACTCTACTGACGAGAAAATTGAAATATTTTCTTTTTAAAAAAAGAATGCTACTGATGAACAAATATATACTTTGTTTTCTAAAGAAAATTCTACTGATGAGCAAATTCAGATTTTTTTTATACGACTGCGGATTAAATTTAGACATTTTAATAAAAAAATTCTTGTTAAGTTTTCAGAAATTTTTAGAAAAAAGACTTTACAGACTAACAAAACAAAATAAAAAAAAATTCTCTGCTTAAAAGCTATATTTAACAACAATAAAATAAAAAATTGAGTTTACATCGAAATTTTTCAAAAACGGCTTGACCAATTTCAAAAATTTAAAAGCCGTTGGTCGTCTCTTTGTAATTCGTTAAATTTCTTCTGATAATTTTAATAAAACCTTGTATGATAATTTTAATTCATATACATTCTAAAATATTAGAGGTTTAATTATAAGAAACTAGCAAACCCGACGAACTCCGTTTCGCCACCAGATGGTTTCGTGAGAAGGATGAAGAAATTTTTTGTTTGTTGTATATTTGAAAAGGAAAAAAATGATTTTATTGCACAACTGTAATGAATTTATTTCGATTGCAAAAATGAAGTTTTTTTTAGTTGAACTTCTCTAAGTAAATGAAAGTGAATCCGCAAATTATCCGTTTCATTGAAGTGCTCTTTGGTAAACCACATTTTTTGTTTTTTGGTCTGACGTTAACACAAACAAAGCGAATGGTTTTCCAACTCGTGAACAGGCAACGTATAACTGCCCATGTGAGAAACAATGATTTTCTAAATAATCTATTTGAAATTTATCCCGCAAACACTAAGCGATTGGCCTTGCGACTTGTTATTGCGAACGCAAGGCGAACTGAAAATTGCAATCGTTTGAAGTCAAACGGAAGACCAGTCAGAATCATTGGTATGTCACCAAATCGCCAGCAATTTTTGATTGAATGGTGAAATTAAGTGCGTGTACATCATTATTTTTTGCAGCAAGAATTGCTCGTTGACTTAACCAAGCATAATTCTGATAATTCTCACTAATGTAATTACTCGAATTTTTAAAAACGGTGCGTGAATGTTCCAGTAGCTTGCATCAAGGCACGATGCCATGCACAACTAATTTTCTTAGCTATAATCCTTGCGGAGCCCGAGACCTTTCCAACGAATGCAAAATTGTCGAAATCGGTTCGTGCGTTCTGGAGTTATTTCGTCAGGAAGGAAAACCCGACTTATTTTTATATAATATATATATATATATATATATATATATATATATATATATATATAGAAGATATATATATATGTATATATTGCTTTCTTATGAAATAAATTTATTAATTACATATCGAAATATGTCTGAAATCAAAATGCCACTTACATCTATTTTTTTTATTTTCAGGTTCCAAAACGTACCATTAGACGACCCGGAGGCATTCCAAGGCCAGGTGGTATACCTAGACCATCAGGATTACCAGCACCACAGGTAATAAATGAAAATTAATAAAAAAATAATCATTTAATTAGATCATAAAAAATTCTTACATTTGTATAATTTTCACGATATTTATTGTTACATTTTTGTTTTCAAGGCTGCAAGAGGACGCTCGAGGCCAGCGGCAGCTTTGACTCCGGAAAAACAGAGGCCGCCTGCAGTTTGTCCGAGACCCACACAGGGGCAGCAGAGGCAGGCAAGGGCTGTTGCTCAACAGCAAGCTGCAGCAGGTAGAATATATATATATATATATATATATATATATATATATATATCTTGATAGTTTTTTCGACGTTGAAACATATTTCAAAGTAACTAGCAGCCCATTCGTCGAAATAAAAAAGGTATAAAGTATAAAAACTTTTATTTATACGTTTCGACACAAGATGCGTGTCATCATTCAGCAACACAGGACAAAAACACTCAACAAAAATTTATTTAAAAAAATTAAACTTAATAACATATTAGAGAAAAACATTTTTTTAGAAAAAATTATTAATAACTAAAAGATTTGAAAACTAATTTGACTAAAAGTTATGAAATGCATAATTGTGAAGCGAGAAACACGCCCATACCGAGCATCCAGACTCGGATGAATCTTTTAGTTATTAATAATTTTTTCTAAAAAAATGTTTTTCTCTAATATGTTATTAAGTTTAATTTTTTTAAATAAATTTTTGTTGAGTGTTTTTGTCCTGTGTTGCTGAATGATGACACGCATCTTGTGTCGAAACGTATAAATAAAAGTTTTTATACTTTATACCTTTTTTATTTCGACGAATGGGATGCTAGTTACTTTGAAATATATATATATACTCGTATATATATATATATATATATATATATATATATATATGTAGCGGCTTGTCAACACGCATCGCATTTCTACTGGACAGATAGGCTCATATAGTGACAGCACGGAGAAAACAAAATAATTTAAGTGTCAGATCGGATCTTACTTTTGTTTCTCCCGAGTCTTATTTCCAAAATTATTTTTCTTGAAACCTTTCTTTTCAATTGTGAATACGCAAATACCAAATATATTTTGTAAACGAGAAATATGATTACACATAGTGTTGTCAATATTAATCTTACATAAAATAAACCTAATATAAAACATTATATTTTATGGAATTTATTATGTCTACAATTTGGATCATTTTGGTATTACATATGGACCACTAACTATATATATATATATATATATATATATATATATACTAGCTAACCCGGTTTACGTTTTGCCATATAAAATATTTCCAGTATAAAATGTTTAGTAGAGAAATAACTAACTGATTGTAAATGTGGTGCCTAAGTGATAAGAGCAGCAAACAAAAAATATACGAATAGTTTACCCACTGCAAAGCATGTCATTTTATAATTTCTGCAAGGGCCAACCTGATCTGAAGAATCTATTTCAATTGAATTAGCACATTTACAGTTTCAAGATATTGATATGTTATTACCGAGCGTTTGTATTAATTCATTAAATTTTTTACTACGAAGCAATATCCGATAATCCGATTGAGTAAATATTTAATTAACATTGCCTACGATTACTATACTAATAATTAATATTTTTTGAATTTTTATTTATTAGCAGCTGCCCAAGCAGCGGCAGTTTGTCCAAGACCAGTTAGACGCGGGCTGCCTCAACCAACTGCAGGTAAATTAATTTATGAAATTTTTCTCGCCAGAAATTTGTAATTAAGTATTGTTTTTCTTTGGTTAAGTCATATACAAAAATAATACAAATAAATAAAACTCTGCAAATATTTGACCGAAAGTATAGCTAAATATTATTACGATTGTATATAAACAACAAACGCCACGAATTATTAGTAATAAGATTATTTCTTGCTCGTTTATATGTAAAATACGCCTGATCGCACAGCAAATAGATAGACATTTTCACAGTATTCACTAACTGATATTATCTTTATTTTCAAAATGATATATTTATCATTTTTATTTAAATTTCAGGTCCATCCAGGTTAAGGGCACCAAGTTCTAGGGCACCAGGTGCACGCAGAAGGATTTTGGCTAGTACACCTGAACAGCAGGTAATTTATTTTAGCTGATTTTTTAAATTTGTCATTGCATTCATTATGATTCAAAGTTACGTAATAAAAACGATATATATAATTGCAAATTAATGTAATATTGTTTTTATCAACTACAGATATAAAATAATAAATTTCTAATTACGTAATTGTTACATCAATAATTATTATAGCAAATGCGATATAAATAACTTCTAATTGATATAACATTGATTTTGTTAACTACATTTGCTACAACGATGTGGAATAATGAGCTAACTATAATTTTTTAGAACTGCTGTTACATCAATTTTACGTAGTGTTTGTTACGTGGTTGTTACATACGTATTTATTCAATGACAGTAATTGTGTCATTGACAAATTACATGTAATTGTAAATGTAACACTCGTTTTGTTTATGTCGACTATAGTTTGTAGTTACTTATTTATTATAATAAACGGTCAATTAAATTAATATTTAGTATAGTTATTATTACGTAATTGTTAAGTCATTAATTATAACAGTAAATGCGATATAAAAAGCTATTAATTAATTTAACATTGTTTTTGTTAACTACAGTTGTTACAACGTTGTGAAATAATGAATTTCTAATTAATTTCTAAAATTTTAAATCTAATTTAAAATTTTATATGACTGCTGTTACATTAATTTTACGTAATGTTTGTTACGTGGTTGTTACATTCGTATTTATTTAATGACAGTAATTGTGTCATTGACAAGTTACATGTAATTAAGTGTAACACTCGTTTTCTTGATGTTAACTACAACTTTGTAGTTATTTCTTTATTATAAAAAAACAGTTAATAAAATTAATATTCAGTATAACTATTGTTACGTAATTGTTACATCAATAATTATTATAACAAATGCGATATAAAAATCAACTAATTAATGTAATATTATTTTTTTTAACTACAGTTGTTACAACGTTGTAAAATATTAAATTTGTAATTAAAATTTTGTACGACTGCTGTTACATTAGTTTTACATTAGTTAGTTTACATACGTATTTATTCAAAGACAGGAATTGAGTCATTTATAAATACCATGTAATTAAATGTAACACTCGTTTTGTTAATGTTGTCTACAAGGTTGTAGTTATTTCTGTATTATAAAAAAACAGTTTTTAAAGTTAATATTCAGTATAGCTATTGTTACGTAATGGTTACATCTTTAGTTATTATAGCAAATGCGATATAAAAATCAACTAATGGATGTATTATAGTGTTTTTGGTAACTACAGTTGTTAAAACGTTGTGGAATAATGAATTTCTAACTTTAATTTTGTATCGCTGCTGTTACATTAGTTTCATGTAATGTTTGTTACGTGGTTGTTATATATGTATTTACTCAATGACAGAAATTATGTTATTGAAAATTTACATGTGGTTAAATGTAACACTCGTTTTGTTTATATTAACTTCAGCCTTGCAGTTACTTCTTTATTATAATAAACAGTTAATAAAATTAATATTCTGTATAACTATTGTTACGTAATGGTTACATCTTTAGTTATCATAGCAAATGCGATATAAAAATCAACTAATGGATGTATTATAGTGTTTTTGGTAACTACAGTTGTTAAAACGTTGTGGAATAATGAATTTCTAACTTTAATTTTGTATCGCTGCTGTTACATTAGTTTCATGTAATGTTTGTTACGTGGTTGTTACATACGTATTTATTTAATTATAGTAATTGTGTCATTGGCACATTTTACATCAATTAAATGTAACGCTTGTATTGTTTTTGTTAACTTAAACTTTGTAGTTACGTTTTTGTTATAATAAACATGCTTTAAAATTATTTTTTGTGCAACAATTGTTATGTATTTGTTACAAAGTTTTGTAACATTGGTTTCGTTAATGAAATGTAACTACAGTTATGCAATTGCAATTTAAAAAATTACTAATTTATTTATTTATATTATTATTATATATATTATAATAATATTAATGTAACTATACATAATATTTAATGTAACTATTGTTACTTAAATATTGCACATAAATATATAAATGTCGCATTTATGTCAACCAAATATAACTGTAGTTACGTAAAATTTACAGAATAGCAAATAAATGATTATTAACTGTTGTTACGTAATTAATGCTTCAGTGCATTCTATAAGATATAAATTAATTCTATTCTACTTTAATGTAACGTAAATTTATAACGTAACTTTGTAAATCATGTTTCTTATTTATAACATAACAGTTTCCATATTAATACGTTACTCCAATAATATTTATTACATATGTTTCGTTGCTAAGTTTAAAAATGTTTGTTACGTAACTCTAACGTTAATGTAACGTGTATGTTTTTACTTGCAGTTGCCGGTAGGTCCCGTAACACCAATGCAGGTACTTTAAACATTATGAATAATAATAATTGTTTCTTGTAATGTTACATTTATATATTTTTGTATGTACATTTGACCTTATGTACTTTTTGTATGTATATTTTTGTTACGTAACTTTAATGTAACATATTTGTTTCTTTTACAGCACGGACCGGAGATGCGTCCAGAAATGTTTGTGACACCAATGAAGGTATTAAAAATAATAAATATTTAATAATTATTTATAATAATACTAAGTATTATCCTACTTGTTACGTTCATAGTTTATATAGACTTTTAGACCGATTTAGCCGCATAACAGACCAATGTTATGGCAAAGCTATGTTATGAAGAACTTTCCATACAAATTCGTTCTAAAAGTCATGCGGTTGCTGTGCAGTCAGGCGTATTTCTTACGTTGTCATATACAAAACCTAAACTAAAAACCGCACAAATGTCAAAAAAACGATGTAAGATAACAGTGTGTTTCTGACTCAGCTTCTTAACACACATGTGACGTTGCAGTTTATTGTAAAACGCCTGAATGCACAGCAAATACATGACATTTTGGCAGCATTCAGTATGATTCAGTAGCAATATTAATACAAAAATTTAATGTAAAAGAGACTCTACTGATGAGTAAACTGACTTTGGGTAAAGTATTTTTGAAATCATGAAGGACTCTACTATCTAAGAAACAAAATTTAAATTTGAAGAAAATTTTATTGCAAAATGCTTACAAAAAGGGAATCTTGTAATTAAAATTGTTTGTTAGTAGAGTCACTTTTTAGATAAAATTTAATACTTGCTAGTCAGTATAATTCAGTAAGCTTTAGTAGCATAATGTATGGAAGTTGGAGCGTAACAAGGCCTTGCCATAACATGTAATTTTTGTTACGTATCTTTTATGTAACGTATATGTTTTTGTTACAGCACGGACCAGAAAAACGGCCAGAAATGTTTGTGACACCAATGAAGGTAAGAGATGTGACTTTAACGTTATGTAGCTTTAACGTAACTTTTATGTAACACGTGTGTTTTCTTGCAGCACGGACCCGAACCGCGGCCTGAAGATTACATGACACCGACACAGGTAATTCATCTAAAATTAATAAATTTGCTAGCCTATTGGCAAGTTGCTTAATGAATCAAATTCAATAATTAAATAATAAAATAATAATAATTATATATATATAAAATGATGTTTGGTGATGAAGCTTGAGGAATATTAAATTCGAAATATTTTAAGTCTATTGGTAAGTTTCAATTGTAAAAAATAATTTATTTACTTGTTTTTTAATATTAGACGTAAAATCTCCTATTGTATAATGGGCAATAGAAAAATGTTTCTTATAAGCCGCACTCGTGGCCAACTTGCGTTGCTACATCACTCCCCTTTTAATTTTGACATTTAAACTTCATTAGATATCATTTTATACAGTTAAAGTATAATGAGCAATACAAAAATACTTCTAATAACCCGCACTCGTGGCCAACTTGTGTTGCCACATCACTCCCCTTTTAATTATGACATTCAAACTTTATCAGATATCATTTTATACAGTTAAAGTATAATGAGCAATACAAAAATAATTCTAATAACCCGCACTCGTGGCCAGCTTGTGTTGCCACATCACTCTCCTTTCAATTTTGATATCTAAACCAACTTTTCTATGCCTATATTATTTTATACACTCTTATCAAACATCAAATTTCCTATCGTATAATAGGCAATCAAAAAATACTTCTAAAAATTTGCACTCGTGGCCAACTTGTGTTGCTACATCACTCCCCTTTCGATTTTGACATTTAAACCAACTTTTCTATGCCTATGTTATTTTATACACTTTTTTTAAACATCAAATTTTTTCCTATCGTATAATGGTCAATAGTAAAATGTTTCCTGGAAGCCGCATTCATGGCCAACTTGTGTTGCCACATCACTCCCCTTTCAATTTTGACGTTTAAAATTTACTAAATAATGTTTTATACAGTTTTTTAAAACATGAGATCTCCTATTTCAAAAATCCAATGGAAAAATACTTTATATAAGCCGCATTTTTGGCATACATGTTTTGCCACATCACTCCCTTTTGAATTTTGACATTTAAACTTTGTTAAATATTATTTTATACAGTTTTTGCAAACATGAAATCTCCACTTATCATATAACAGGCAATCGAAAAATCTTCTAATAATTCGCACTCGTAGCCAGCTTGTGTTGCCACATCACTCCCCTTTTAAATTTTGACATTTAAACTTTATTAAAAATTATTTTACACGCTCTTTTGAACATCGAATCTCTTATTTCAAAAATTCAATAGAAAAATGTTTAGTAGTTGCATTTTTGGCCAACATGTGTTGCCACAACACTCCCTTTTAAATTTTGGCATTTAAACTTTATTAAACATTATTTTATACACTCTTTTTAAACATCGAATCTCCCATTTCAATAATTCAATAGAAAAATATTTCTAAGTCACATTTTTGGCCATTATGTGTTGCCACAACACTCACCTTTCAATTTTCACATTTTATCATTCAAACTTTATTAAACATTATTTTATACAGTTTTTTATACACTTAATTTCTTATCGTATAATGAACAATTGAAGAATACTTAAGCCGCACTCGTGGCCAACTCGTATTGCCACATCACTCCCCTTTTAACATTATTGTTAGAAACTATCAAGTTACATAGCAAAGATGTAATGATGCTGCATGGACGAGTGCATCTAGAAAAGGTGTCGCATTGGTTGCGGTTAATTCAGGAAAAATATTAGATTAATAAATGTCAATACGTTTTAATAGATTTGTTATATATTTAATATATTTATTATAAGGTATTTATAATTGTTAAACTCTGGTGTTTAGATTTTCAAACAACTAAAGCAAAATTTAAGTTAATTATGGCAAGTTCGTAAATTCTCGTAGGCCTATATTATTTTAATATTTATTTATTAATAATATGTTTATTTTTAGGCTGCAGAAATGCGCGCCCTTGACGAATTCCAAAAGTCGATGAATGAAGCTTTAGAGGTAAAATTTAACTTTTTTTTGAAAATACAGTCATGGCGGTTTGAATTTTTTTAAATAATTTTTGTATTTTTTTTTTCTTAGTTTGATGCAATGGAAGGACAGTTGACACCGATGCAGCAAGCTATGCTAGTGAGATAAATTAAAATCTTAGAATTAATTATAAATTATTTTTATATTGTTAATAGTCTAAAGAAACGGCCTGGACGGACGTTTAGGAAAAAGTCAAAATTTGTCTCAAGGAATTTTTATTTAGAAATCCTAAATTTTCAATCAAGTCTAAAAAGATCTATAAGAATTCTATTCAATATATTTAATTCAAAAATATTTAATTTAAAATTTGTTTTCCAGAAAGAACGTTTTCCTTGTGACGTCATGGAACCTTTTGCAAAACATGTGAGTTGAATATAATAAGTTATTATTATTATTAAATTATTTATTTAAATAATATAAACAAATCCAAAAAAATATTATGATGAGGTAGATAGATTTATTTAATATTTTAATTCTTATTTTACAGATTAGTCCTGCAGAGAGACCATTTAGCCAGAAACCAATTGTAAGTAAAATAAAATAATTTGCTTTAATTTCACAATCAATCACATTTAAAAGTGAATAAAAATTCAATAAATCAAGAATTTAATTAAAATTAAATCCAATTAGTTTATTTTGTATTTGTTCTCTTATCTAACTTATTGCTTAAGCTTCTCTAATAATGTTTTAATCTTATCTAATAATTGCTTAATTATGCTAAAATTTAAGCTTATTTAATAATTTATTAATCTTATTTTTGTTTCAGGAAACAGAAACAAGTCCGGTGAGTACCACAATTTTATTTAAAATATTATTCATTTATTTATTTTATTTAAATTTTTTAAATTTTTCAGCATCAAGTATTCGTAGGTGACCTTTCAGAACCATCTTTAGACGAGGTAAAATTGACTTATTTTTATATTTTTGGGCCAATTCTGCGATAAAATAGGCCATAACATAACGTTATGCTATTTTCTTGGTATTACTATGTAAATGCTAGATATAAAATCTAACATAGAAAAGCCAAAAACATTAACAAAAGAATATAACACAAGGTTGTAAATTTATTATGCCTGACTATACAGCAACCACATAGGTTTTTAACAATTAAAAAAATATATAATTGATATTCAAAACAGAAATTTGAATGAATAAATTCAGATAAAATTTTAGTTTTTAAAAATTATTTTAACAATTTTTAGTACAAAGAAATAAGCATAACATAACGTTGCTATAACCACGTTGTGTTTTGATCTATTTTTTCGAAGAATTGGCCTGTTAGTTTAAAAAAAATAGACTAATTTTGGATAAAATTAATAAAAAAGTAAAAGTCGTGAATGCTAAACTCGATATTAAATTACTTATTTTACAATAATTTAAATTAATAATTTTTAGCATTTTTAGCATAAATGAAAAAATCGAAAACGGGATAAAACGTATCATATGTCCTTCTCCTTGCTCTAAACTACCTCCCTGCCAATTTTGAGCTAAATCGGTTCAGTGTTTTAACTAACACGATCCTCTTATCTATGTTTATATATATATATATATATATATATATATATATATATATATTAGATTTGATAATTTATTGAATATTTTAATTTTAAAAATTTCTCCTGACTTAACCGCAACTAATGTGACACCTTTTCACTTTTTTTAGCTACGTTACCTGATAGTTTTAAACCACGTTAGAAGTACGTAACATTTAAGTCGACATTATATTTACTGGAAGTTACTCATTTGTTACGTTATTATTCAAATAGTGAATATATGTCTAATTTTTTTTTTAATTTTTTTGCAGGGTGTTTCAGAAGTATCAGCTCCGGAGTTGAGCGATGTTTCTAGCGATGGATCGATGGTAAATATAAATTTATATATATATATATATATATATATATATATATTTATATAACAAATGTATTCTGAATGGATAGATAGATATTAATTTAGAAATATGAATAAACAACACTTTTTTTGCACTAAATTATTAAATAATAATTTTACAAACGTTTCTAGACTAGGTTTGTCTCATCATCATTTAAAATTATATAATTAAAATTTAAAATTTAAAATATGGAAATCTAAATTAGCATTATGTGTTATCCGTTACAAGTCATTCCTTCTACTAATGTTACTTGAGAGATGAGAAATAACACAAATAATTAATTTCATAATAGTTTAATTTTGCATGATTTGTGTATATACAATACTTTTATGTTTTTCCATGCAATTGTCCATGTGAAAAGCAATTCTGATCTAAATGCAAAATATTTAAGTAATTTAATTTAATAAAGAGAGTATAATGTTTGTCCCCAGTAGATGCCGCCACCATTAAAAAAGGGTAAAATACAAAAAAATACGTTTGTGGGTATGTGACTGATGTAAAAAATAGATAATATCCATTTCAGATACGAATTATATGTCATACTAAAATTTCAGCTCAACCAGTGCTGAACTTTTTGAGTTTTTCAAATTATTTTCAGATATTGATTTATTTATTTATTTTCAGGCACCTTGTCCTTTGCGCTCGCCGACTGCGGTAAGTTAAAAAATATTATTAATTTATTAATAATATTTTTATTATATTTAAATATTTTCAAATTATATTTTATAACTTAAATATAATTAACATTTTTTTTTCTATTTCTTGCAGGCTAAACCGCCGGTTCCAGATATGGTGAGTGAAAATGTTTTTTTAAAAATATTTTCAATGACGTAGATATATTGTTTTAATAATAATTATTGATAATTAATTATTATTGAAAATTTATAAGTTATGGGTGTATAATTTGTAAGTATAATTTAAAAAATGACAGGTTTAGTATAAAAAAGAGAGAAAATGAGGGAAAAGGGGATTTTATTTAGTATAACAAAAGAGGAAAAAGGGATTTTTTATGAAATAAATCAATACCAACCGAAACATTTTTTTATAAAAATATTCTGTTCGAGCAATATTTCATCTTTAGTTATTTTTATTTGATTCTTATTAAATTTTGGTCCTAACCGTACTTTGCGTTTCAACATTTGAATATTCACACAGATTGCGTTCTACAAGCTAAACCGCCAAAGATACGAAAAAACTTTGTTTAGACGAAAAGTGCAGAATAAAATTACGAATAAAATGATATATGAATCATTAAGTGTGTTCATATAATTTTCTCAAGATTTTCTAGTTTATCTAGAATTTTTCAAGTGCTACTCGCCTGTAGGCCACACCGTGCGGAATTCGAAGTTGCGATATATGAGAAAAAAACTAAGAATTTTGAGACCTTTCTAACGATGTATAATACTTTATATGTTTTCTTTAAAGAAATATCATATAGTGTGGTTAGTTGCTGGAACCTAACCGCACTTTGCACTTCATTACTTGAATATTCACACAAATTGCTTTCTATAAGCCAAACCGTAAAAGATACGAAAAAATTATGTTCGTACGAAAGATAGAGAATGAAATTGGGAATAAAATGATATATAAATTGTCAAGTGTGTTCATATAAATTTTTCGCAATTTTCTAGTTTTTCTTAAATTTTACAACTGCAACTTGCCTGTAGGCCACACCGTGCGTAAATCGAAATTGCGATATATGGGGAAAAAACTAGGAATTATGAGACCTTTCTAACGATGTATAATACTTAATATGGTTTCTTTAGAGAAATATCGAATAGTATGGTTAGTAAGTTGCTCGAACCGCACTTTGCATTTCAACATTTGAATATTCACACAAATTGCACTCTACAAGCTAAACGGAAAAAGATACGAAAAAACTTTGTTCAGACGAAAAATACAGAAATAAATTATGAATAGAATGATATATAAATCGTTAAGTGTGTTCATATAATTTTCTCAAGATTTTCCAGTTTTTCTTGAATTTTTCAACTGCAACTTGCCTGTAGGCCACACCGTGCGTAAATCAAAGTTGCGATATATGGCAAGAAAACTAAGGATTTTGAGACCTTTCTAACGATGTATAATACTTAATATGGTTTCTTTAGAGAAATATCGAATAGTATGGTTAGTAAGTTGCTCGAACCTAACCGCACTTTGCACTTCAACAATTGAATATTCACACAGATTGCGTTTTATAAGCCAAACCGTAAAAGATACGTAAAAGCTTTGTTCGAACAAAAAATGCAGGATAAAATTACGAATAGAATGATATATAAATCGTTAAGTGTGTTCATATAATTTTCTCAAGATTTTCCAATTTTTCTTGAATTTTTCAACTGCAACTCGCCTGTAGGCCACACCGTACTTAAATCGAAGTTGTGATATATGGGAAAAAAACTAAGAATTTTGAGGCCTTTCTAACGATGTACGAGTATAATACTTAATATGGTTTCTTTAGAGAAATATCGAATAGTATGGTTAGTAAGTTGCTCGAACCTAACCGCACTTTGCATTTCAACATTTGAATATTCACACAGATTGCTTTCTATAAGCCAAACCATAAAAGATACAAAAATTCTTAGTTCAGACAAAAAATGCAGGATAAAATTACGAATAAAATGATATATAAATCGTTATATGTGTTTATATAACTTTCTTGAGATTTTCTATCTATTTGTTTTTATTCATATATCTTACTCCGTCTCTGCCTGAATGCGTATATGTCGCTCTCTTTCACTTCAATATCTTTAACCCTAAAAATATATATCTGTCTCTTTTTAATTATATATAATTTTATATTTGTTTTCTTTTTCAGACGTTGGCGGACGTTTCGTCTCCGGAATTGGCGGACGTTTCGTCTCCGGAATTGGCGGACGTTTCCGACGTTGAAGTTCCGGTAAAATATTATTATTATTTATTATTTTATTAAACAAAATATTTAAACAAATTTAATAATATAAATATTAATTTTCAGGATGTTTGTCCCAGGCAGCCTGCTATGGTACGTATAAAATTTATAATTATTTTATATACATATATATATATATATATATATATATATATGTATATGTATATATATATATATATATATTATAATAACATTAATTTTACTTGCAGCTCAATGAACGCGCTACTGCAGCACAAATGGAAGCGGTAAGTAAAATTTTGTCATTGTATTCAAATGTTATTTTAGAGCATACTTAGTAGTTGTAGGTGCTTATAATGTTAGACATTATTGTTCATTATTCAATTTTGCATAAATTTGCTAAATAAATCATTGATTTTGCGTTAATATTTCAAAAGTTATCAAAGATTTTGTAACTAAATGCGCGTTGAAGTTTAAAGGCACCTTTACAAATTCTTGCATATGTACTAGATTACAATAATGTATTCAAATGCATTTTTAGGGTATACTGAGTTGTTGTAGGTCTTTATAATGTTAGACAATATTGTTCACCGTTTAATTTTGCATAAATTTTCTAAAGACACCATTCAAATTGCGTAAATATTTCAAAAGTTATTAAAGATTTTGTAACTAAATGCAAGTCGAAAATTAATATTATCTTCACAAATCCTTGCGGCGTGTAATTTAAACTAGTTGAAAGTGGCATTTAGCCCTAAGGCAAGTTGCATGAACAAAAATTGTTATTTCAAACATTTCAAAAAAGTTGATATTTTGAGTTTCTAATAAGACTTGCGACCTGTTTATTAGTTTTAACTTATAAATAAAACTACTTACTATATTTAAATAATTTTTACCTAAAACATCCTATTAAATTTTATTGCACAAAATCTGTTGTAACCATTTGACATTTGACGTATGAGCAACCATACATTGCTTCATTTTAAATAACGTTTCTAAAAAAAAAAATAAAATTAAAAACTTAATATTTTGTTTTATTTTTATATATAAGATTATAAGTTGAGTATAAATCTAATATGTATTAACTTAGTAAAAATAATTTTAATTTTTGTTACAGACTTTGGCTGATATGTCTGCTCCAAATTTAAGTGGAGCTTCGAGCTTTGGAGAAGCAGTGAGTTTAAGCTTATTTTATTTTTAAATTAAATTAGTAAATAAAAGGCAAAAAAATTTATACAATTTTATTAATTAATTGCAAAACGTTTGACAAATTTAATTTCTTGTAGGCGGGTCAAGTTTGTCCTGGAATGGAAGCTGTAAGTATATTAAAGATAAATAAATATATATATATATATATATATATATATATATATATAATATAATTTTATTTATGATATTTTTCCAGACTGTAGCAGACGTTTCGTCGCCAGATTTGGGAGACATTTCAGATATATCACCGGTAAGTTATTTACATTTATATAATAAGTATATATACTAGATGACCCGACAGACGTTGTCCTGTACCCATGTCTACAATTTTTTTATATAATTCTAATATATACCGCTTACCTAAAAATGTAAACTACTTCATGTTGGATAAATTTTGGCAGATGATAGTTTATATATAAAATCTCAAGTAAAAATTGCATTTTTCTTACTAATAATTAACTATTAGTATTATATCTTATATAATTGTCACTTAAAGGAAAATGGTAAACCAATGGGTTGCATCTCCTAAAATAATAGGATAGAAAATTTATTAGTTTTACATATTTATCAAAAATAATTTTTTTCATTAAAAGTTTGTATTAAGAGTTTGAAGTTATTACTAAATAAGTTTTCGATTTTTTTCAAGGTATTTAATTTATATAAATATACTAGCTGACCCGGCATACTTTGTTTTACTATGTAAAGTATTAATTTGAAGAAATGTCCAAAGTGCAAAAGATCATATTAATTTCATATAAGTGAGGTTGAGTTTTTTTATTTAATTTATATATATATATATATATATATATATATTTCAATATATATATATATATATATATATATATGTATATATATACTAGCTGACCCGGCATACTTTGTTTTACTCCGTAAAATATTAATTTGGAGAAATGTCCAAAGTACAAAAGATCATTAATTTCATATAAGTGAGGTTCAGTTTTTTTTATTTAATTTATATATATATATATATATATATATATACTAGCTGACCCGGCATACTTTGTTTATGTTTATCATCTAAAATGTATGTAAAGTAAATGTCCGACGTACAAAAAATTAAAAATGACACAATTAAAATTTTGGTAATTTTGACACTAAGTTATTTCTACATTTCGACACTTTATGTGTGTCATCATTCAGCAAATCTGAAATTTTAAATTCAAAATAGTGTTTGTTGTTAATAGAAAATATGTTTGTATTTCGGGTTTTGTTCTTCAAAGTATGGAAGAATTATATTTTTTACAAAAATGAATTTTTAAAAATAATGTATTAATATAACAAATTCACTGTTAAAATTGTTTTGTTTCGGAAACTAATTTCATACAGAAAAATTATTTTGAAAATGACAAATGGTTGAAAATACAATATGTTTATTAATGAAATATTTTAATTTGAAGTCATTGTCAGTAGAGTTCCTATGTTCAAAAAAATAAGACTATAACTAAAAGACCTAACTTGTTCGTCAGTACAGTTCATTTTTACTCATTAAAACTACACTCTTAAAAATGTAAAAAATTATTGGAAATTAAATTACTTAAGACCATTTATTAGTAGAGTTCTTTTTTGTCATAATTACATTAGTCATTGTTTTAATAATTTTATTATCATTACTATTATATATTAATAATACATAATTTATTTCAACAATTAATATTTGTTAATAATATTTATTTTATTTCAACAGGATGTGTGTCCCAGACCGACTTCAGTAAGTATAAATAATATATATATATATATATATATAATTAATATATTTATTAATTATTAATTACTAATGTTGGTTTCTGTCTTTGCAGGCTGGTAAGATGACTTCTCAGGAGATGGCGGCGGTAATTATAAATTTATATTAATAATTATAACATTATTAATATATATATATATATATATATATATATATATATATATATTATTGGATTTGTTTTTTTTTAGGTTTTGGCTGATTTATCGGTGCCTCGTATTCAAGGAGTTTCTCCAGTAAGTTATTATATATATATATATATATATATATATATATATATGATATTTCACTTACATATTTCATTGCGATTGGATCACTAATTTTTTTTTAGTATATTTTACTTCATTTTCTTTAAATGAATATGTCTAATTTTTACAATCATAATTGCAAAAACAAAAGGCTTAGATAGTAACAAGAAAATTAAATCATTATTATTATTATTATATATTAATTATTTCAGTTACTTTATTTAATACCTATTACATTGACATTATCACAATATTTTACAAATTATCATTTGTATTTATTACTATTTTTTTTTAAATTTATTACTAATTTTATTGTCTTGCACTGAAATTTGAAGCAGAAA